CACAGCTGCGATTAAAATAGGTCAGAACCCTAAGCCATGAAACTTTGCATTCAATACTAGGATGGCTCGACATGGGAACCAGAGGATAACAAGGCAAGTATATTTATAGCAGGAGCCGAGTGCCAAGAAAAGAGATTAGCACAAACAGGACATGCTATAAACACTTGTTTTAAATAAATCCGTGCTGGTTTATCCACATCTAAGCCAAAGCGGTGGTGCATCTTCCTTTCCGGTAGCAGGTAGGGGAAAAAGTCTAAAAATGATTAGTACTGTTTACATAGTGGCTTTGAGTTAAACAAAGGCACTGAATCCACAAACCTTTCTTTTAGAGAGATGGGGGAAAAGGTCCTCTAACAGGATACAAGTGGACATTCACATTTTGGAGAATCATTCTAAACTTACTGCAGGGCCTTCTCGTGCCCACCAACTCAATCCCAGCAGTGTTTCTGGCTCCTCCCGCAGTGCGGTCTCCTCCCACACCTAAACCTCCAACCCTAGACAGGCCCTTCCCAGCCAAGGCTCCAAGGTCTCCATCCTTCCACCCTCTACTTCCAGGCCCTCTGTACCCGCTCAACGCCTGACCTCAACGCCCGACTTCAACGTCCAGTGCCCAACGTCCAGCCCTCAACGACCAAAGCCCCACGCCCCTCACGCAGTCCCTTTCACTCCCCCATGCGCCTGGGAACCCTGACCTGGAAAGAGGCAAAAGGGCCGCTGACCCCGACCTGTCTCTGAATCCTGGCCGTGATGGCGTCCTCCTGGGCCCTCAGAGAGGCCCGCAGCCCAGCCACCTCCCGACGCTCCGCTCACCGCCAATGCCCAGCTGGCCGCGCCTGCGCAGTCCGTGCCCACGTGCGCTCCGTGACGCACGCGCACCCTCCACGTGGCGGGAAGGGGAGCTGCGATCTGGCTTCAGTGGCACGTCCTTGCTCCCGGGATGATACGAAGGCTGTGGGCTCATGAAATTCCTCCGCGGAAACTTAATACAACTATTGTTCAAGCTTCTAGAAAGATGTGCCTGGGAACCCCAGTGGCAAATTTCGAGCTCAAACAGGCAGACCTTGTCTCCTCAAAAGTCACTTGAGTGGCTGTAACCACTTAAAATCTTACAAGATTTTTCAAATTAATGGTTGCCTCTGCCTGATCTTGGAAACGGAACACGTGTGATCAGTTTTTTCCCTAAGAGGTCGTCACTCTATGTTAGCATTGATGAAAGAAAGCAATATTAAAACTTTAAAACTGTATGTAGCCCTTTCAAGCAAATTTAGAAGAAAATTGGTATCACCTTGTACCCATCATCCAGTTTCAACATTACGCATTTATGGTCAATCTTGTCTGCATCTTTACCGACACAACCCCCAAGCGCACACTCCCCACATTGTTTTGAAGCAAACTTAAGTTGCATCTACTTTTTAATATATATATTTTTAGAACAGTTTTAGAGTTACAAAATAGATAACACAGTACAGCCAGTTACCCCATTACTAACTTATTAGTAGGATACGTTGTTAAAATTATAGGACTAATATTGATATATTACCATATTCCATAATTTATGTAGATTTCCTTTGTTTTTACTTATTCTCCTTTTTCTGAGTCAGGATTCCATTCAAGATACCATGTTACATTGACTTGTCAGGTCTCCTTAGGCTTTTCTTGGTTGTAGCGGTGTTTCGGACTTTCTCTGTTGTCAAGGATGACCTTGACAACTTCCAGGAATATTAGTCAGGCACTTTGTAGGATGCCTCATTGTTGGAATGTCTGATGTTTTTCTCAAAGAACTGGAGTTTTGGGTTATTGGAGGGAAGACTATAGAGGTTCAAGTGCCTTTTGAATTGCATCATATCAAGTACATGCCCTATAAACATGTTCTATAACAATGTTTTCCAGGAACACCTGGTTAGAGTTTGTGAGGTTTCTCTACTACAGAATTTTGCTTTCCCTTTTTCATACTATACACCATGGAAGGAAGTCATTATGTGCAGTCTACACCTAAGGGAGGGGACTTATATTTCCACTCCGTTAAGGGGAGAGTATCTACAGAAATCATTTTGAATTCTTTTGCTTGATTTGTCTCTTCTCCATTAATATATTCAACAGTCTGTCTCTTCATATATCAGTATAGACTCATGGATATTTATTTTGAGTTATAACTGGCTTATAATCCAATACTATTTCCTTGCTCAAATTGTTCCAACTTTCTCCCCTGGGACCTCTTTTCAGTTGGCTATTATTCTTTGACATAATCCCATCTATGTAGCATTTTTTTTTTCCTTTTTGAGCTCTTTCTGAGACATTGTATGTTTTCATCCATACATATTTATGTATGTAGCCTTAAAAGAATATGGCAAAAAAAAACACACTAAAATTTCTCACCTTTAAAATTTTTAATATCATAAAATTAGAACTTAAAATTTTCATAGGCTTAAATTTTTAATAGTTGGTATGTTCAAATCAGGCTCCAAACAAGATCCTGTATTTGTGTTATGTATTTTTAATTTCTTTTTTAATGTTTTTCAATTTTTCAATTACACTTATTTAATATATTAGTTTCAGGTGTACAGCAGTGATTAGACATTTATATCTTATGAGTGATTCTTGTGATAAGTCTAATACCCACCTGTCACCATAGTTATTACAATCTTATTGACTATATTCTCTATGCTGTACTTTACATCCCTATGCCTATTTTGTAACTACCAATTTGTTCTCCTTAATCCCTCCACCTTTTAAATCCAGCTCCCCAACTCTCCTCCCATCTTGCAACTGTCAGTTTGTTCTCTGTATTTGTCTGTTTTGTTTTGTTTGTTCATTTATTTTGCTTTTTAGATTCCACACATAAGTGAAGATTTCTCTTTCAATTCTTTCATTTTCTTGCAATTTGTATATTGAAGTAACTGCAGTTTTTCTCCTATTAGATTTTGTTGATTGCATCTCTTCTGCCAAGACTTCAACACAGGTGGTGTCGTGATCCTCTACTGCCTCAGATAACACTTAATATCTAGTTGTTTCTTCTTAGGGGATATTAAAATTCTAGCAGGTTCGAATATTGTCAGCCCCATCCATCCACTATGAAGTTTCCCAATAGCTTTTCATCTGGGGATTCTAGACTCACTGTTGAGCATTACCTAGATCCATTATTTAATCAGGGTTTGCAAAATGGTGATCTATCCTTTCTTCTGCATTTATTATCTGGAATTCCATAAAGAAGAACTTTCCCACACTGACTGATTGAGATTTGGTTTGTAACAGGAAAGGCAGGATGCTTGATTCTTTTACATTTTCAGAATGTGATTTCTTGGCATCCTCAAAAGGTGACCAATGATGTTTTTAAAAATCAGCACAGTCATTTTTAACACAGTATGTATTTCGATCAATTGCTATTACTTTTGAACGCTAAAATTTTCCTATCTTTGACCTGCTGGAACCTCTTGAATCTTTTGCTTTCTTCTTTGTTTTCTGATACAAGTTACATGTCCTAGGCTTTCTTGTAGATTTCTTGCCCCAGACTTAGAATCAGCCCTTGGTCTCCCAGAAGAACCCAGGTGACTTTTCATGGTAAATTATATTCAGAGTTATGATCTGGAGAATAGGAGCGTGCATTGGGTTGGTCATTATTCTTGGCCTTTACAATGAACAGCCTTTTTTTTAAGGGTCAAAATAAATGCCTCATGAGTTCATACAAATATTTCTAAGTTCAGGATTGCAGTGTTTTTACTTATTTGATTTCACATTTGTATTTCTTTTTTCTGATACTGATAATCTTGGTTCCTGGAAGATATAATTACTCATATGGTTTATACTAATATACATATATATGTATATATATCCGAAATAAGAATATGAATGTTGTTACTGACAATATGAGTACGGAAAAAAGATTAAAGTTTCTTCAATTTTTTTCCCTTGGAGTAATATATCTCACTAGGAAGGAATGTTTGGTTAATTTACTGTTTTAAAGTCAAACCATTTCTTTACTGTCACAAACACTAACTACAAATGTGTTTTAATGCAGTATCTTCATTTAAAGAGGGAGGTGCCATTTCCTGTTGAAAAGTTAAAAGGAAGAGGGTTACACAACTTCTTAAAAAAGTGATCCCCCCATCTCTGACTCTCTCTTTTTGCCAGCAGTTAATCACGAAGCTTAACAGAATAGTAGCGTTTTCCTTTACAAACACTTGCACTGACGACTCGTCAGAATTAACTATTTTCACTCTTGAGCTGCGCATACTAAGTCCTAAACCAAAAGCATATTACTTCACTAGACAGTGTAGGTTTGCAAAACCTCCAGACTGAAACTGCTTACCTGACTTCTTGGGACCTAATTAGGCAACTATTCAATACACTTCCCTCTCCGCCCCCACACACTTTTTGTCGCTAGTATTAATACTAGAGCAGCTGCTGCATGTCAAACCCCAGCTGGGAGAGGACATAGCCCGCGCTCAAGGAGCTCAGAGTTGGGTGCCAGAGACGAACGCCCCAACAGTTTATTATTAAACAATGACAGTAGGTGACACGCTGTGGACACGAACGCGATGTTATGGAAACCCTGAGTCTCTTCTTCTGATGAATTCTCAGAATGCAGGTAGGCTACTCCTGCCGACCCCGCCCACGTCAGGTATAAGGGTTGTGTATAGGGGCTGGGAAGTCATAATTTTGAATTCTCTCATTGTTTTATACACCTGATTAATACGAGGAAAGGCCAGAGGGTGAGGATTATATCCAAGGAGCGCATCCTACAGAAAGAAATAAGTCGTTTGAGTCGGGGTGGGGCGTAAGAAGACTTACGAGGACTTCTCTGCTGGAGAGCCGGCTTGCACCGGGCGTGGGTGCCCAGCGACTGTAAGTGCTAGGCTGGACGCTACCAGGGCAGAAGGCGGTGCTGCACCGGTCCCGCCCACTGCAGACAGGTTACACTGCCCTAAGGTGCGTCGCGTCACACCGGCTGCCCAACGCTGATTGGCTCCTTTAGGAAGTCCCACCCCCTCAGCTGTAGCGGGGCCGTGGCCGCCATCTTTGTTGATGTGTCAGCTCCGCGGGGGTTTGGGGAAGCCTCGGCGGAGAGGGCGCGGCGTCGGCCCTGTTCCCTACCGCTGTGCCCGCATCTCCTGTTCTGCCGCACCTCGCTATGGAGAAGTTGGTCCCTGAGCCGAAGCCCCAGCGGCCTCGCTAGGGGTGCGGCCCGAGGCTCGGAGAAGTGGGTGAGTGCCTGTGGGTCGCCTGGGGCGGGCCAGGGAGTCTTGGTGGCGGCGCGGCGGGGCAGCCCACCTAGCGCTCCGTCCTGCAAGTCCCACGGCAGCTCTCCGTTTGATAGGATCGGTCGGGCTCTGGGGGACGGAGTTCGTGATCCCTTTTTTCTCCCTGCCTCTCTCTCTCGGTTCCGGGTTGCCACGGGAGGTGGCGGCCGAGAGAGGTTGAACGGGGGGTCGCGAGGGCCGCGCCAGCAGAGCTGCGCTTGGAGAGCGGCGGAATTTGGGCGTATGGCCTGGTCTCCCAATGCGAACTGCCGCTCGGCCCCACCTGCTCAGCGATCTTTTTCATAGACTCGATCGCCTGTTTCTCTCTTCGTCTGTACAAGTTGACTGTGTGTGTTTTTTATGTTTACTGTTGTGGCGACTTTTTATCGTCTTCCGAACATTGCCATTACTGTGATTTTAGGTAACTTAGAGACGATTTTTTGAGATTGTGGGTATGAGATAGATAAGTTCTTGATTTTTATGTTGCCTTTTTCCGAGGACATCAAGGCATTTGATAAGTCTTGAAACTTTGGTTGGTAAGGATAATATTTCACAATTTTGTCTCTATCAAACGTGTAAAAGGTAAAGTTCTTTATACATATCCTGTAGTAGCAATCCTGGGGAACAGTGCAGGTGTGGTATTGTTATTAACAACTTATTCATGTCTTGATTTTGTTTAGAAGAAACAGGCCTGCATTCGGAGTCATAATGTCTGGATTAGAAACCGCCTCTTTCACTTGATTGTCCTCTTATCTATGGGAATTAGACGGTATAATAAAAATACGCCGTACTGTCCCAGGCATTTTGTTAGTTTTCTCCGTGCCTGTGTCATGTTCCCTTGATCCCCAGCTTTTTAATTTTTTCCAAAATGATAGGCTGGGAGTTTTTCTAAGGAAAATATGCAGTAAATCACTGAAACAGTATTTCAAGAGGTGTGCTGGTAGTCATTAAAAAAAAAAAAATTAAGTATTTAGATATGGTAGTGGGTGTAGCCTTCCTAACTACACCTTCATATTTGCAGTGTTGATCTTATGGAAAAGGTTAAATTTCTAGAAACATCGATAGTGAAACTGAACTATGCTTGCGTATAAAGAACGCTGTTCTCTGTACAGCTACTTTTCAATTCTTCATCCATCATTCATTACACAAACAGAAAACACTGTTGATTGGCCTCCTTTTTTTTTTTTTTCCATTTTTTTATGGTCTTTTCTTGTTATTTTAAATGAGGTGAAGATATTGAGTAGTTCACAAATCTTGCAGTGTAAAGAATTAAAAGTCTTTTTTTTTTTTCCCATTGTACTAGGCAAGCATGTATAATTACAGAAGAGTCTACCTGGAAATGCCTGGCTTATGTTTATATTGGTTTATTCCCTGGAAATGCGTGGATTTGTTTATATTGATTTTGTTCTTAAGACCTTGTCTAATTTAGAATACCTGCATATAAACTTGAAGGTTTCTTTAAACAGTGGAGATTTCAAAGTGTCATGGTTATTTCAGTTTTATTTATTGCTAACAAAAGGAGCGATATAGCACAGTAACCACTCTACCCTTTTATTTCTTCACCCATAAACTCAAGAGTTGTGCTTTGATGATATACAATGACAGCATATCTGATGATGATTGCTTAGTATATTTAATTTAAAAACATCTATTTACAGCTACATGCTGACATCACTGAGTGAGGATAAAGCAGTGCAGTATTCTCACTCTTGAGGGAGAGATGATAGGACGAAGCAGCCTTATTTACAGATTTAGAAAAATCATCTTTCCCTTTGAAGAATGACTCGTAATCTGCACTAGTTTTCCAAATTCATCCAACAGTTTCATATGAGAAAATCCTTAACCTGAAGTTCAGTTTTTTTTCTTTGAATAAAATTTAGTTTTTCCTTTTATGCGTTATCTCTAGCTTTAAATAACTAAAGCTGATTCTTGAATTTCTCATAAACATGTCACTGAGCTTACAGTATTGTGAATGTTGTATTTATTATTCATTTCAGGGCAACAGTGAAAGCATAGATAATTTAAATTTACAAATAATCCTCGAATCTTATATTATTTCAGACTTGTCCTTTGAACTTTATTTCTAGTTATTGAGATTTAAAAAGTCTATTTGGGCTAAGAAGTAAGCAAATGGAAAAATATTGGGGTGAAGGGGTAATAGACATGAAGCGTAAATCAAACCCAGCCTTGGTAAGTATCGATTGAATTGTGAATGTATTTGTCTTTAAGACACATGAACTGATAGTCTACTGTAAGAATGATTATGTAGTATGTGCTAATGCATAATTTAATTTTTTGGTAAACAACATCATACTAAATTAACCAAGCCCAAGCAAAAGGTAGTTTCAAAATTTAAACATTAACCAGACAGAATTCCTTAATTTAAGGCAGATTTACAAATTAATCCTTTTTTTTAAAGTTATCAGCCTTTTTGGAAAAGGAACTACAGGTCAATTTTATTTCTTCTTTTAAAAGTATTTCAGATTTGGAAACAAAAATTAACTGAAAATACTTTTCATGATTTATCAGACTCATTAAAATTCAAATGGTGAGCTCTTACATGTAGCTTTGAAATAAGATTTCTATATTAATAATTTTCTGTTTTAACACTTATTATAAAATGAGATATATAAAATTACATGGATTTAAGATACCAAACTGATCAAATGATATATAACTTGATAATGTAATATATGATGTGGCCACTTAGCCTCTTTTTCTTGGAATTTTGGTGGACCATAATTTCTCTGTTATTCTGTTACAGACTTTGGTACTATATTGGGGGGCAGGAGGATGCTGCTGCATTCATTGCCCTGAGTCTGTCTTTTTAACATCGTTTTTGTCCATGTGATATAATGCACCGTAAAATTCATTCTGCCCTGAGTCTTAGGTGCAAAGATGAATAAACCCTTACAGGAATAATTGACCTTGACCTCATATAACGTACATTTTAAACTGATGGACTAAAGGCAGCTTTTAAAATCTAGTGATATATTTCATGTTAAGGAAACAGTAAAGTTTAATTTTATCCAAAAACTTAATAAGAATGTGACTATTTTACAAAATATTTCTTCTTTTTGATTGAATTAATCTAGAATTGTTTGAAATAACCAGCTGAGTTTTTAATCTTTTAAAAGTAGAATTTGATTTGAATAAATCAAATTTGAATGAACTTCAATGTCAGATATTTTCATCATGTGAAATGGTTTTCATGTTTCTTACACAGGTTCTTTTCTGTTCTCTTATTTTATTCTATTTTTAAAAACTTCATCCAGTAAAGTGTTTGTATTTTAAAGTTAATGTCTATTAAAAATCACTTGCTTGGGGATTGTGATAGGATTATGTTGCACTATGGATGTTTTTCTGATTTAATTTATTGCTTCCGATTTTAATTGCCATTTCAGAACCTCATTAGAACTGGTCAGAAAGATTATTTTTTTGTTTATGCTGCTTTCAAAGTTAATTTGAGGAATATGTAAAAACCCTTTAGTGTACTTGTCCTTTCAAGGATGGTAAACGCTTATATTGAAGAACAGAAATGCTCTTGCTTAATGGAAATTACTTAAGTATACAGCTGGTATTATTTGAGACTCAAATGGTACAGTTTGTGATTTAAACATTTGTAGTTGTAAACAATTTGTTGAACTGCGTCAGATTTTTCTGTTGGACTTAAAAAATACTCATGTATATCATATATAGCTTCTGATGGAACACTGACAGACCTTCAAATTAAAATAATGAAACACAAAGAGTAAAAGATTTAACGTAGTTTTTATGTATTGGTCCACTATACCAGAATATAAATTCCATAAAGGAACACTGTTTTATTTACTACTCTGCTCCCAGTACATAAAACAGTGCCTGCACATAATACATGCTGAATACATATTTGGTGAATTAATATCTAGTTTGGAAATGTATTTATGACTTGGTGCTTTTGTATGAGACTTTTTTGATAACCTGTTACCAAATATCTGTGGATTGGATTCATTTGTAATTAACTGAATGAGCTTAAGCTTTTGTTGTTTATACTGCTAATTTACTGGGAAAACAAATAGTGCTAAAAGCTGTTAAAGACAGTGTTTTCATTTACATGGCTCTTGTATGGAAATGATTTCATAGAAATGTGAGTACTAACATTAAGAAATAAAGTCCAAGGTGGATAATGGTTGGCTTTAAGGCTAACAAGAAATGTTTCTTGACCAGTTGCCTGCAGCTGATGAGCTCCAGTAAGAGCGAAACCAGTTCTCACTCCACTGAAACAATTTTGAAGTGTGAATTGGTCCTGTAGTACTGTGTCAGAAACAACTCTAGAAAAAAAAAGTGCTAAATTAAGAGGAATTTTGTGACTCTGCTAAGTTTTAAATATAGTATTTTATCCTAATGAGTTATAGTTGCTAAAAGTCAAATAACCCTTTATTTTTATCTCAAAGAAGCAGCATGTATTATAATATATAATTTTAAACACTATATATGAATGTCATTTTAATTTATACAAGATCTTAATTAAAACAATCTTGTAAATAAGGGTGTAGTTTTACATCCTGCCTCTAATCTGTTTCTAGACTTATTTCATCCTCAGTAGCTTTTGATGGCATCTCCCACCCCCAGCTCCTTTCCCCTAAAAAACTTGGACAGCAGTCAAATTGGCCTATATCAGCATTGCCAGCTGGAGGCCCACAAGAGGACTCAGCTGACTGTTTTTTCCCCTGGTTAATCATGGACATAAGCTCATTGTGGCCCCTCTTCCCCCCATTCTTACATAGTTATTTAGTCTTTGGTGATGGCTTTGTTACATGTACATACATCTTCATTAACCCCTCTCCATTTCCTTTTGCATCCAATCAGTATTCATTTGAGCATCAGAAAATTAAGTTTGAAAGCTAAGTGGTTATCAGATGCCAATTTATATGAAGACTTTTCATGGGCATGTTACTGAACAAAAGTATAGAAGGGACTTGCCTTTTGAGGTTAAAGTAAGCCTTCCTAATTTATGGGAGGATAATAGTGAAACAGTCTAAGCTGAAGTAATTATAAAATCAAGTTTTTGTTTGTTTGTTTGTTTGTTTACCTAAGCGAATATTCAGCAGAATGAGACAGATTTTTATTGCTCTGTGCTGTCTTGCACATTATGAGTCTTCTTAACAACCTGGTTCCCACCCACTAAGTGCTGTTCAGCACCCCCAGATTATTGTGTAAAACCAGTAGGTCCCACCGTCATGGAGAACCACTGAACGGCACTTGCAAAAATGAGTATAAGGGCGGTAGAGAATATATTTGTTAGATTTATCAATTATTACTGTTGCTTGAGATTTAAGAAGTTTGATTCAGTTCAGAATGAGGTGCCTTCTTGTAAGTACAGAAATCGTTTAAAAGAAATGTCACAAGGAAGGCTGTGACTGTGTGCTTGATGAGTGTAAATGTGCTATATTTTTGTTTACAAGAGAGATAATTTTTGTACTTGCAATGAAGGAAAATTTGACGGGAGATGTAACATTGGAATCAGTCCTTTAAATATAATTAGGCTCTGGATAGACTAAAGGGAAGGATATTTTGGGTGGAAAATACTGTATTTGCTTTTGGATGGAAATGTTAATGTGTAAATGGAAGAATCTTGAATAGGCTATTCAGGGACTAGTGGCATATAGGGAAGTATTAGGATTTTAGGAATGTGTTGAGATAAGTCTGGAAAAGTAGTACAACTGGTTTACTGAGGAATCACAACTCAGGTACACATATGAGACTTTTTTTCCTTAACGGGTCTCCTGTCATACTGTGTAAAATGCCCCCATCTCCCCTCCGCTTCCCTCTGAAGTGTAATCCCTTAATAACGGCTTGGTTTGAGGTCATAACTTTTCTGCCACTTGATTCTAGAGAAAACATTTCAGAAATTAAGACAGGTTTCAATCATTTAAAAAACAAAAGCAACAAAAACACATTTTTCTCTCTGAATAAAGGTCGAAGCTGTTAGTTCCCAGTGGCTTAGACTGAGGAAGAGGTATAATCTGACTCTAAAGTATGTTCCCTCTCCTTTCTCTAGCTAACCGTTTTGGAGTTAGGGGAAGAAGACCAGCCATGAGGGGCAGAGTTCTCATTACCTGAACTTCTAAAGAGGGAAGAGATAACCCTGGCACCCCTCTAGTTCATCCGGTCACATTTGATGGTGGGCTCTGTGGAGATGGTGCATATAGATTTTTTAGGGGTAACATAGCTTCCTGGCCCCTTCTGCCATTGAGGACCCACTTCTTAGGGCAGCTCTTGTTCCCCTTCGACAGACCCAATGCAGTACACTCTTTGACCCCTTCTCTGGATTGGTTGACGCCCCAGGGCTATCTGACGGCACTTGCTCTTCCATTAACTCCTTGCTCCTTCACTTGGAGTTGAAGGAAAGAAAACAGAAAGGAAGAATGGAGTGTGACTGAGAAACCAACAATTCATATGTTCCAGGCATGAAATGATAAGGCCGAGGTTGGGTTGCAGGTAGGGGACAGTGACAGAAGAAAGGAAGTTATAATTGTAGGAGACATGAAGTTGGTAAAAGAATAAGAGAACAAATGAAAGGAGTCGTGACTAAGGAAAATGATACCATTGACAGAACTAAAAAGATTAGCTGGGGGTACTCAATTGTAGGAGCTATAATTATGATTTTGGGTTTAGTCATTTTGAGTGTGAGGTTATGGTGGAACATTCAATGGAAATGCCTATATTCAGGTGGAGATTTTGATAGAGCTATAGAGATAGAGCGAAGGTGAAGGTATAAATTGTTATCTGTAACTTAAGAACATGGTACTGAAAATAATTAACATAGGCATCAACTATAAGTTATTGGTTGAAGTTATCAAAGTGGATGAATTGTGGGAAGGAAAATAAAGTTGAGGACTGAAGCCCGGGGAATAAAAGCTGGATGAGAGGGTCTACAGCCATGCCACCCTGAACAAGCCCAATCCCGTCTGATCTTGGAAGCTAAGCAGGGTCAGGCCTGGCTAGTACTTGGATGGGAGACCACCTAGGAAGACCAGGTGCTGTAGATGAGAAAAAAAAAGGGATTGTAATGTAAGCTGACAAAGTCCTTGCAATCCATTGAGGTCAACCAAGGTTTGTCTTGTCTAAAAAAAAAAAAAAAGCTGAGTGAGAGGATAATAACCAATATTTGCTTAGTGCTTTTCTTTCACAAAGCATTGCACACAGACATGATTCATAAAGTTCTCAAATGATAAAGTTTCTTTTCACTTCATCTATGCTGGAGAGTCACAATGTCTTAATAGACTTACTCTCTTTTAAATAGATTATTTGCTTTCCATTAGATTTTGGTCAGCTTTGAGTTCTACTTCAGTTAATATAGCATGGACTAGTTATGATGTTTAAAACCACTTCCTTGGTTAGTTTTGAAATTGACTTCTAAATTACGATTTTGAATTACACAGCAACATGTTCACAAATTACATCTTAAAAGTGAGTTACTTTGGGGAAGCTGATGTAGGTGAATATTGCCTCTGTTTGAGAATGATTTTACTTTGTCCTAGATTTTAGAATACAGCATACTTGTGAGATCTTTTATTAACTTACTGCATTTATTTGTATTATCTAATCCAAGCCATTAATACTATTGTGGGCTTTGTCTTAGGTATAGCATATATGTGATAAGATCATTATGATAATTTCTATTTGATTGTTTGCAAATTTACAGCTAAGTAATTCATAGTATTAAGGCCAATGTTTATATTATATCAATTTATACCTAAAAGGGCTGTCTAAACTAAAAGACAAGGTATTTGACAAACAACATGGTCTTTTCCTTTCTTAGAATTATTCTTTCAGTTTTCTGCAATCCTAGAAAAATATTCCTCAAATACTAGTTTTATCCTGTCACTTCTGTGTTTTAGTTCAACAAATATTTGAGAATCTGCTGTATACTAGAAGCCCTATACTCTAATCAAGTATATACAAATTGATTATGATTTATTGTCTTTAGCAAATTCATTCTTGTGTATCATTCTGAGGATTCTACCTAACCATCTTCTTTTACCCTTTTTCACCATCTCTGACCACCACCTCCATCACAGACTGACATGAACATATATCTTTCTGTTATTCAAAAATTTAGTCTTGGTTTTGTTTTCCATAAGTACATCTTCCATTTGGAATTATTAGTTTCTGTCAAAACTATGATCTGCCCACATTTTTATCCAACCTCACATGATTCCAGTAAATTGTCTACCTCAGGGGCCCCCAACTCCCTGGCTGTGCGTGGCCTGTTAAGAACCTGGCTGCACAGCAGGAGGTGAGTGGCAGGCAAGTGAACAAAACTTCATCTGTATTTGCAGCCTCTCCCCAGTGCTAGCATCACCGCCTCAGCTCCACTTCAGATCATCAGGCATTAGATTCTCATAGGAGCACTGGTCCCTGGTGCCAAAAATGTACGGGACCGCTGATACCCCGTACATGCTTTGTTGATATCTGACAAAAGAAGTTGACAGTTCTTTTCCATCAAGATTGCTGGGATGTTTATATTTATCTATCTCAGGTTAATTTTTGAAGTTGACTTATTTTCAGGAAATAGCTAGAGAATAACCGTCATGAATAGCGTACGAATGTAGTCTACCATTATTGAATTAGTTTTGTAAATGTTGCTCTTATGACCTAGGCAGTGCATATGGTCTCCATTCGAGTTGCACTGAACATGGTTTATTCTTGATGAGCAGCATATTTGGAAATCCCCATGGTACCTCCTGGATTTCTGCCAGGACGAAAAATGAATTTCTGTCAGGGATCCTTTACACTCTTCTTTCAGCTCAGCTCTAGGTGTCTGGGCTCTAGGTAGCTGTGTTTTGTTATTGGTAGCCATGTTTTGTTATTGTTTAGTTTTCCTTCTCAGTAAATTTGTGTCATCGTTAGTATGCATTGTTTTGTTATCTTGGTTTATAATTTTTCTTCTGATGTTTTCACTGCTGTCCTATTTCCCCACTATTTTATAGATTTTTAAGAAAGTCATTTTCTTCTCATGGAGCCAAAGGAATTCTAGCTAAACAATTCTTTGGCACTAATCTTCCAGTTACTAGTATTTGTAGGACCCTACTGGTTGTGGCACCCTTGGATTGCTGTCCTATTCTTTTTTTTTTTTTCTTAATGAATGGCTTTTGAAAGAACTGTTAGTGGTAAAATTTGTGTCCTTAGTTATTCCACATCATAGAATATGTGCAAGTATATATGTTCTTGGTTTAAAAAAAACTTTTATTTCGATGTTTTGACTTTCTTAGATGTAAAACGAAGATCAGGAACAGATTGGAAGAAATGCAGAGTGAATTGGTGCCATTCAGCATGTCAGAGACAGTGCACATAGACTCCATTTCCTCAGATAAAAATATTGGGAAGACATCTGAATTAAAGGAAGATTCATGCAACTCATTTTCTGTTGATGAAAGCAGTAGCTTAGACAATGAATCTAAACTGTTGTCATTAAACTTTGATAAAACTTTATGTCATCCTAATGAACACAGTAGTCAAACCGAAGCACAGGAAAATTATGTTCCAGATCATGGTGGAGGAGAGGATTCCTGTGCTAAAGCAGACATATGCCCAGAAAATTCTGAACAAATAGCTAATTTTCCTGGTGGAGATTTTACGAAGCAAGTTTTGAAAACAAATGAAACAGAACAGACAGTAACTCAAATATTGGCGGAATTGAGGTCATCTACATTTACAGAAGCAGCTAGTCAAAAGATGTATTCTGAGAGTCCCTATGATACAGACTGCACCAAGAAACTTATTTCAAAAATAAAGAATGTTTCAGCATCAGAGGATTTGTTGGAAGAAATAGAATCTGAGCTCTTATCGACGGATTTTGCAGAACACCGAGTACCAAATGGAATGAATAAGGGAGAACATGCATTAATTATGTTTGAAAAGTGTGTGCAAGATAAGTATTTGCAGCAGGAACACACCATAAGGAAGTAAGTTTTTTATTCTTTTAGGTTATTTTTTTCCACAGAGATTAAAAATAGCATTTTTTAAAGGAAGGTAATCATCTTGTGCACTTTAAATTTCGCAGTAGAGCCATGCACATTATAGTTAATCAGAAAATATGTATTTACTGAATGAACAAATGTCAAGTTTGTCCAGTTATTTAATATGTCTTTGTTTTAATATTATGGTATTTTTTTCATTATTTTAGAAATAGGTACGCGTCAGTGGTTTTATATATATTATATGTCATACAATTAGCATTTATAAATTATACATATAAAGTCAATATTTTAATATGATTCAAAATTTGTTTTACATGACTTAATATATTAAGTCTAAAGGAATATTTTATAAATAGCATAAGTTCATTAAGATCTAGAGATATTTCTAAAGACAACTCAAATTTTTTAGTTTTAAAAGAATGGAGCATAATATTGTCAAAACTATGAGAAATTCAAAAGGAAATGAGAAGTCATAAAATTCAAAAAAGTAGTCTTAAAATCCCCGTTATAAATTCATAGGTTTAAAAAATTAAAATTTAGAGAACAGAAGAATTGGTTGATTATCATTCAGTAAATAAAGAACATGGTTATTTTTAGACTTCTTGGATTCATGAATTTCTGTTTTAACTAGTTTAATTTCACTTGATCTTTTTCTAATAGTATTATATTACCCCATGTTTTTATTCTAGATTTATATGCGTAAGTGATGCATATGTTTAGGTACTCTTTTATAACCTCTAAGAAAGGAAAATAAAACATACTAGCCTTCGCTAAAATACAGACTGATTCTCTTTTTAAAAAACAGTACTTTAAACAAAATTCAGAATAAGAGGTGTGTGTGTAGAGAAAGGAGAAGAAGTCTCCATACCAGAGGAGGAGGAAAAAATTCATTATCCAAATATTGCTGGATATGTAGTTGGCTTTTAATGATCAATTTGCTTCTAGTCTTTTTTTCGCAGATTTTCTTGCTCAGTGGATCAGTCTTCCCAAAACCAGCTCGTCTTTATTGGTTTATCCAATAAACTTTAATCTCTTAGCATCCAGAACCCTCCTTTTTTTCCCCTGTTTTTAATTTTAATTTTAAATTTTGATGAAATACATATAAAATTTACCGTCTTAACCATTTTTAAGTGTATTATATAGTAGTGTTAACTGCATTATATTCCCATTGTAGTGCATCTGATTTCCACAGCCTTTTCATGCAAATCTGAAACTATGATACAAATAACATACAAAATATGTTAATAACTGCTTATGTTATCAGTAAGGCTTCCAGTCAGTGGTAGGCTATTAGTAGTTAAGTTTTGGGGGATTCAAAAGTTATACATGATTATCAAGTGTTCAGGGTTTAACTGTACTTTGTTTCTAAGAGTTTGACTGTTCTTGATGCTTCATATAAATGAAATTATACAGTAATTTGCCTCTTTGTGACTGGCTTATTTCACTTAGCAGATGTCCTCAAGGTTTATCCATGTTGTAGCATGTGTCAGAATTTCCTTCCTTTTTCAAGGCTGAATAATATTCCATAGATACCACATTTTGTTTATCCATTTGTTCATCAGTGGGCATTTGGGTTGCCTCCACCTTTTGACTATTGTTAATAATGCTGCTGTGAACACGGGTGTACAAATATCTCTTGAGACTCTAAGGCCTTCTTAATACTACCCTAAAACTAATGGCTGCTATTCCTACTCATGTTCTTACTGGAATGCTGCTATTATAAATAAATTATATGACTTCGTACTTGAACCATCAGTGTTTCTGCCATTCTTGCTTTTTAGGGTAACTTTCTCATTTTCTTGCTCTCTATTCTTTTAGACCTTCCCTTTGAGATTATCCCTGATGCCTTTTCCCACTTTTCTTAGATCCAGACTCTTAATCACTTTCATGCCTCTCTCATAAAATATAAGATGTTGTACATTTAATAATAATAATAGCAAAAAATTATGTACTGTTAATTACGAGACCAGCACTTTATATATATTAACTCATAGAATCCTTACAGCATCCCTATGTGGTATGAACTGATGAGGTACCTGAAGCACAGAGATTAAGCAGTTTGTTCAAGGTCACATGCTAGTAAATGGCAAAGTTAAAATCTAAGCCTAATTAGTCTGGCTTCAGAGAATTTTTAATGTTGTCTGAAATGAACTAGTTACAAGTTGTTAATTTTCTACTATATTACTAATATTTTTAGCCACATTTATTCCTATGTTTTACTCCATTCTGTCTGAACAGTGGAAGCACAGTGGACTGAGGTAAGCACAGTTCTGGTCAGAAGCCAAGAGTTGGAAGATTCCCACTGCCACTTGCAAGCTCTGTTTCACTGGCCAAATCAACCTCTCTTGAATCAAAGATTTTTTATCAAATGAGGAGGATGATGCTTAGTTGATGGAATTGTTTCATGGATGTTAAGGCATTATAAAAATGTTGGCTACTGTCATTTGAATTCTAAGTTTATCTTCTGTTACACACATAATATTTTAAATTTCAAGTATGTCATGACTCAGGTTAACTCTAAAACGGCTAATTTTTTCTCCTTCATTTAATTTTCTGTAAAGATAACTGCCTTTCAGTTCCTTTAGCTTAAATATATCTAAGCTAAAGGATGTATCTATTTCCAAATGTCTTTGTTTATACATCAATTCTCCTATTTTGTAATAGCAATATTATTGTCCAAGGTCCCAACCAGAATTGTTAATTAAGAACAGCTCGTCTATAGGATGTGCGTTTGGCATGTAATAATGACAATTTGAGGGCTTGCTATTCTTCTTCCCTAAATTGTTTACTTATGAACTATACCCAGAATTCTTGTGTTTCTGCAACATACTGAGTATACACCTTAATCATATAAGTAGTCAAAGTTAAACCACTGTGACAAAAAAGGTTTGAATAACTTGCTTTCCTAGATATTTGCAGGACTTACTACCTGACATTTTATTATGTATCTAGTTGTTTATTTTATTATTCTCCCTTAGAATGTAAGCTCCATGTGGGCAGGGACAGTTTGCTGATGTATTCTTAACACAGAGCATTAGGTACCCAGGAAGCATTTGCTGAGTGAATGAGAGATCTTCAAAGTAGAAAATGGAAAAACCTGCGCTATGGAAGTAGACTTGGGTCTAAATCTCAGTTCATCCACTTACTAACTGAATGACCTAGAACAAATTCTAGGCTTCAGTTTTTTTATTCACAAAACGTAATAATTCATAGATATTAATTTCATAGACTTGAATGTTAAATGAAATAATGCACTTAAACTTAGCAAGTAGTAATTGTGCAATGAATGTTAAGTAATAGCTGTTAATCTTAAAATATCAGCTGTTAACCTTCTTAGGTATCTTATAGTTCTAAGTACTTTGCAGGTAATTTTTAAGATTTTGTTTATATTTTTCTAGAGTACTGAAAATGAAACTTCTGTTTAAACTTTTATTTTGCATTGGCTACTCTTCTCTATTAGAATATCATTTAAATATCCTTAAAATCTAAAGCAGGATTTCTTAACCTCAGCACTATTGGCATGTGGGAGCAGGTCATTCTTTGTTGTTGGTGTGCTGTCCTATCTGTTGAAGGATGTTTAGTAGCATTCCTGGCCTGCACCCACAAGAGGCCAGTAGTAACGCCCACCCCTTTTGTGGCAACCAGAAATGTATCCAGACAAATGCCTGGAGGAGTAGAATTGCCCCTGGTTGAGAACTACTAACTGATCTGAAGGGATTCAAGTGCTGAAGGGATGAAGTGCATAACTGAGATGCCCAAAGACATAAAAGAGTATGGTTTTTTTAACCCGATTATATTTCACTTGATTTGAAATATACAAATTTGTCAAAAAAAGTTAATACTTAGACTGGCAGAAGAATGTATTGCAAAGTAGAATGTATCATTACAAAAGGATTACTTAGGAATGTGAATTTATTAATCATAAATATCTATAATCTAATCTGCAAACATTATATTCCACATCTCTTTTTAAAATTGTTTTACTTATACTGCCCTTTGTATATTTAGGTTAATTAAAGAAAATAAAAAGCATCAGGAGCTCATCTTAGACATTTGTTCAGAAAAAGACAATTTAAGAGAAGAACTAAAAAAAAGAACAGAAACGGAAAAGCAGCATATGAACACAATTAAACAGGTAAAAAAGACAGTCTTTTTAAAAACTGTATTTCAGGTTGCCAGATGGGAGCGGGGTTGGATAGATGAGTGAAATAGGTAAAGAGATTAAGAGGTGCCAGTTATAAAACAGTCATGGGGATGTAAGATACAGCAAAGAGAATATAGCCATTAATACTGTAATAACTGAATATGGTGTCAGTTGGGTACTAGACTTATCGAGGTGATCATTTCATAAGTTATATAAATGTCTAATCACCATGTTGTATACCTGAAACTAATATAATATTGTATGTCAACTGTAATTGAAAAATCTTTTTTAATTTAAAAAAGGACTATATTTTATAAAATAAATACATTCTTGAAAATTTTTATATAAGTTGAAGTTCTGTAAGTTAAATTATATTTTAAATGCAGAGGATTGCTTGGTATATAAAGCATTCTCTTATGAAGTGGGAATTGTAGCCTGATTTTTTCTTTTATGTAAATTTACATTTTTATATGCTATATGTGACTATATTCTGTATGTAACAAATCTGAGAAGAAAATACAATTTGATTTGGCAGTAAAATAGACCTTTTTACCCATTTAAGTCAGAAACAAACATCAGAATATTTATAACTGTCAGAATATTTTTAAGCTTATAGTTTAATATGATTCCAATATAGTACTTTGTGAACTATACTGGGGAGACTGGCTCTCCTATTTCAGATTATCTGGCTAGGTGGCTTCCCTAGCCTTTTCTCTCTTCCCCTCCCCTCCCACTGTGATACATGGATCAATAAAGTGAATATTCAGACTGGTATCTTTCACAGAAAGCTATATAATGAAAATAACAGTAAACAGTAAGTAATCTATAATAAAAAATTAGACCAAGTTTCGCCTGCTCATGCCTTGGTATGTTTATACTTAATGCACCTTTACATAGTTGGAAAGTGACTATTTGTAAAATTTTACATATTTATTCCTGATTGTTATGTGCTATAGGGCCACCACATACATATAAACAAAACTTAGAATTTTAAAGTGTGAGAAAACCTTAATAATAGGCTGAATCTGTATTTCAGTAGGCGTATCACTGCTAGTGATCAGCCACTTCAAACTGAATAGATGGGAGAGACTAAGAGCTGTTCTTTTCACAGGCTTGTCAGTGGTTATGTCTTTTTAAAAGAGAAAATTGGATTCATCTTTCTTTTGCTAGCCAGTATAGCAGGATTTTCTTCTTTAATTTTATCTCCAAATCTGCACCATTTAATATGACAGCCACTAGCCACATATAGCTATTGAGCACTCGAAAGGTGTCTAGTCCAAATTATAAGGTGCTGTAAGTATAAAATGCACACTTAATTTTGAAGACTTATTACCAAAAAAAGTAAAACAGCTCCACTTTTTATGTTGATTGTGTATCGAAGTGGTATTTTTAATATATTGGGTTTAATAAAACATTTCATATTTATTTGTGCCTTTTAAAATGTGGCTACCAGAACATTTAAATTATCCATGTGACTCGTATTTCAATTGGACAGTGTTGCTCTAGATAATTTTGTCATAAGGAAAATTAGTACACGTGTACTATAAGCTAACATTTAGGGATTTTTTTACAGCTTTGTTGAGATATTCATATACCATATAATTCATCTCATTTCGAATGTCCAATTCAATGGTATTTAGTTGTGTAATGTTTATTACAATTTTAGGATATTTTATCCCCCAAAAAGAAAGCCTGAACCCATTAGTAGTCACTTCTCATTTCTCTCCAACCCTCTCCTCTTCTTCCCTTCAGCCCTAGGGAACAACTAACTTATCTACTTTCGGTCTCTATCTATCTGCCTATTCTGAACATTTTTTATAAATGAAATCATGTAATATGTGGCCTTTTTGTGTCAGGCTTCTTTGCATTTAGCGTATTTTTAAGATTCATTTTTGTTGTAGGATGTATCAGTATTTCATTTCTTTTAAAGTCTAAATAATATTCCATTGTATAGATATGCAACATTTTGTTTATTCTTTCCTCAGTTGATGGATACTGGGGTTGTTTCCACCATGTAGCTATTAATAATGCTGCTATGAACATTCATGTACAAGTTTTTGTGTGGACATATGCTTTCATTTCTTTGGGAGTATACCTAGGAGTAGAATTGTTGAGTCAAATGATAATTCTGTTTTAACTTTTTGAAGAGCTAAAGTGGCTGCACCGCTTTATATTTCCACCAGCAGTGTATGAGGGTTCCAATTTCTCCACACCCTAGTCCAACACTTTTTATTATTGGACTTCTTGATTATAGCCATCCTAATGGGTATGAAGTGGTATGTCATGGTTTTGATTTGCATTTTCTTAATGACCAATGAAGTCGAACATCTTTTCCTGTGCTTATTGGCCATTTGTATATCTTAGATAGATATTTATCCAGAAATTAGATTTTTTTTAATTGTTGAGTTGTGATAGTTATTTTTATATTCTTAACTATAAACCTTTATCAGATATATGATTTGCAAATATGTTTTACCATTCCGTGGATTGTGTTTTCTTGATAGTGTACTTTGAAGCACAGTTTTAAATTTTGATGATATCTAATTTATCTATTTTTTCTTTTATTGCTTGTGCAATTGGTGTTATATGCAAGACTCCATTGCCAAATCCAAGATCGTGAAGTTTTATCCCTATGTTTTCCTCTAAGAGTTTTATCATTTGGCTTTATATTTTAGTCTCAATTTGAGTTAATTTTTGTATATAGTATGATATAAGGTTCCAATTTCATTCTTCTGTATATGGTTATCCAGTTGTCCCAGAACCATTTATTAAAAAGACTGTTCTTCCTCTGTTGAATGGTCTTAGTATTGTTTTTGAAAATCAGTTGATATATGGGTTTATTTCTAGACTCTCAGTTCTGTTTCGTTGATTTCTATGTCTGTCATTATGCCAGTTCCACACTGTCCTGATTCCTGTTGTTCTGCAGTAATTTTTGAAATTGGGAAGTGACTCCTCACATTTTGTTTTTCAAGATTGGCTAGTCTCAGTTCCTTGTATTTTCATATGAATTTTATTATTAGCTTGCATTTTACAGTGAAGCCAACTGGGTTTTTGTCACAGATTATATTGAATCTATAGATTCATTAGGTTAGTATTATTACCATCTTAAAAATAGCAAGTCTTTCCATTTACAAACTTGGGTTGTCTTTCTATTTATTTAGATCTTTAATTTCTTTCAACAGTCTTTTGGAGTTTTAAGAGTGTAGATTTTGCACTTTTGTTAAGTTTATTCTTAGATAATTTATTCTTTTTGATGCTATTATAAAATAATTGTTTTCTTAATGTCATTTTCAGATTGTTGATGTAAGTGTACAAGAACAATTGATTTTATTATATTTTGTAACTTTACTAAATTCGTTTATTTAAAATTTTTTGCGTGAATTTCTTAGGATTTTTTATTTACAAGATCATGTCATCTTGCCAATAGAGAGTTTTACATTTTTCTTTCTGATCTGGGTGCTTTTTATTTCATTTCCTACCTGGTTGCTCTCTGGCTGGGCCCTTCAATACCATGTCAAATAGAGGTGGCAAGAGTGGTTATTGTTATTTCTAATCTTAGAGAGAAAGTATTCAGTTTTCCACCATTAAAATACTATAGTAGCTGTGGGTTTTTCACCGATGCTCTTTATCAGGTTGAAGAAGTTCCTTTTTTATTTGTAATTTGTTGAGTGTTTTTATTCAAAAGAGTGTTGAATTTTATCAAATGTTTTTTATGCATCTACTGAGATGGTCATGTAGTTTTTGCTCTATCGATATGGTATATTAAATTAATTGATTTTTGGATATTAAGCCAGCTTAACCTTATAAGTATAAAATCCCTTTTGGTCATGGTGCATAAATCTTTTTATATATTGCAGGATTGGTTTGTTGATAATTTTTCCATCTATAGTCATAAGAAATCGTGGTCTTGCAGCTTTCTTTTCTTGTGATGTCTTTGTCTGGTTTTGGTGTCAGGGTAGTACTGACCTAACAGAATGAGTTGAGAAATGTTTCTTCTTTTTGAGGGGAAGAGTTTGTGAAGAATGGTATTTAAATGTTTGGTAGAATTTGCCTGTATTGTTCCTTGGACCTGAATTTTTCTTTGTGTGTAAGTTTTCTATTTTTTGATTACTAATTCAATATCTTTACTTACTATAGGTCTATTCAGATTTTCTACTCTAGTCAGTTTTACTAGAAATTGTTAATTTCATCTAAGTTAAATTGTTCATAATATTTATAATTCTTTTTATTTCTGTAAACTCTATGCCTCTCTTTCATTTAGATTCTAGTGATCAGTCTAGCTAAAGGTTTGTCAATTCTGTTGATTTTTTTCAGAAAGTTATTTTTTGTTTTGTTGATTTTTCTGTATTTTTCTATTATCTGTTTCATTAATTTTCTCTCTAATCATTATTAATTCTTATTGGCTTTAGGCTTCTTTTGCTCTTCTTTTTCCAGTGTCTTAAGATGAAGTTTAGGTTATATTTTTTTAGATCTATCTTATTTTTTCAGATAAGTGTTTATAACTATCAGTTTCCCTCTGAGCACTGCTTTAGATGTTCCTATATTTTAGTATGTTGTGTCTTTATTATCATTCATTACCTAGTATTTTCTAATTTCCCTTGTGATTTCTCCCATTGGTTATTTTGGTTAATTTTTATATATTTGTGAATTTTTCCAAATTTCTTTCTCTGTTATTGAGTTCTAATTTATTCTGTTATGGTTGGAAAAGATATATGATTTCAATAATTTAAATTTATCGAGATTTGACTTATGACCTAGCTTATTCTATCCCAGAGAATATTCTGTGTGCACCTCATGAAACTATATTCTGCTGTTGCTCGGTGGAATGTTGTATAGATAGATATGTTTGATTTAGTTATTTCATAGTTTTATTCAGATCTTCTATTTCCTTGTTAACCTTTTGTCTAGATTTGTTATTGGAAGTGAGGTATTGAAGTATCCAACTATTATTGAATTATATATTTCCTCCTTCATTTCAGTCAGTTTTTGCTTCATGTATGTTGGTGCTATGTTACTAGGTGCATGTATATTTATAATTGTCATATCTTTCTGCTGGATTGATCTTTTATCATTATGAAATGTCCCTCAGATTTTATCTCTAGTAACTTTTTTTTATTTTAACCTATTTTGTCTAATATCTGTATAGCCACTGCTACTTTCTTATGATTTGCATGATATATTTTTTCCCATCCTTTTGCTTTCAGTTTATTTATATCTTTAAATCTAAAGCATCTCCTGTAGACAGCATAGCGTTGAACCTTGATTTTTATTCCAGTCTGACAGTCTCTGCCTTTAGATATGATTATTTAGTTTCTCATTTAGTGTTTTTATTGATAGTTGGATTTATGTCTACCATTTTTTAATATGTCTCATGTCTATTTTGTTCAGCTGTTCCTCCTTTACTGCTTTTCTTTTGCATTAACTGAATATGTAACATTTAATTTTTTTCATGATATTTTCACTGTATTATTTTGAGTTACTTTCTTAGTAATTACTCTAGAACTTAACCATCCATCTTATCAGAATCTGCTTTAGATTTATACTAACTTAATTCTAATGAGATACAGAAACATTGCTATCATTTACTTTTGATTTCTATGGTTGAAGTATATTCATTATATTCCTTATGTTCATTTCCATTGTTTAATTGAAGTATCGGTGGTCTGTTTGGTATAGCTATAAAAATAATCTGGAAATAATTTTCTTTACAGTTAGAATCAAGAATAGAGGAACTTAATAAAGAAGTTAAAGCTTCCAAAGATACACTAATAGCTCAAGACACTGCAGCAAAAAATGCAATTCAGCAATTACACAAAGAGGTGGCCCATCGGATGGAACAGGTATTTTTCAAGTCATCATCGTTAACTTTCTGAGGACTCTTTTTTATTAAAGTAAACTAATTCTCTTTGATTTTGGACATCAGCGATGTATTAGGAATAGACAATTTTATTTATATAAAAATTAACCTTTTTAAAAATACTAAAGCAAATGTAAATATGTGCTACCTACAAAAAATAATATAATAAATTAAGGAAATATATAGAGTAAAAAAATGAAAGTCCACATATCTGTACTTCTCCCTTCCTGACCCTAATCCCTCTACATCACATTCCTTTTTCCATTGCTAATTATCGATATTTTGGTTTTGTATCTTACCACATATGCATATATCAGTCACACATGCTTATGTGTACATATTCATATATTTTTCCCCCTACTTGATTGGAATTTTACTGTACATATTTCTTTTATAAATTTTTCCCTCTACTTCATGTACCTTATCATTTTAGCTGGTTATTGAATCTCATTGATTATCTTATTCATACTTTAACTTCATCCAAGTCAAAAATAAACATCTGAAACTGTTCAAGTCCAAAGACTTACTGGCTCCTCTTCCTTTATTTGTGCTTATAAGTGGACTGACTTTCTATAGAAGCTTTAATAGGAGTTACCATGTTAACTTGTTTAATAGTCCCAATAATGAAGTAGGTACTGCCATTATCTGGATTAGGACCTGGAAATGTGAACTTTTAGCACCCCAGTTTATTCCTTTACAACTTATCCACAGATGACTCTTGAGTAATAGGACATTCTGGTGCACGTTCCCTGCTGTTTTCAAGAAGCTCATCTATTTTCCCTTAACTATTAGAATGGTCTTTTTTCCTGTTTTGTTTTGTTTTTTCTGCTTCTTGTTTCTCAACTTCAATGAAGCATCCATGCTGCCACCAGTATCTTATTAAAACACATATTTAATAAAAGCTTCTGGTTTATAAATCTTTCTTTGGTTTCCCATTGCCTATAGGATAAAATTTCAGATCATTAGCATGACAAGGGAAGCCCTTCTACCTTTCAATCTAGTCTCTACCTCTCTTTGTTTTATAACTACTTCCTTCCCACTCTAACCTGCAGGTCAAATTTAAACCCTACAAAATGACTGGATAGCCTCTAAATATATCACGCTATTTTATACTTTTAAGCATTCACACAGGATAATCACTCTACTTTGAATTCCTTTCCTTGACTAACTACTCCTATTCTGTTGAATCCTACTTAAACTTCAATGTCTAGCTCAAGTATAGATAGCACATAGTTTTAAAGTATACCATCTTTCACCCTTTATGCCAACTCCTCTCAGGGAAAGTTACTATTTTTGTGTTTTCAAAGACCTTTGTACATTCATCCACTAGAAATTATATTGTATTATAACATTTGTATATCTGTCGTTCTTACTAGGTAGAGAGCTCTTCCAGGACAGAAGCCATGATTTATTTTTCTTTGTATTTCTCAAACCTAATACATTACCTGAGCATTAAGTTATCGTGAGAGAACTGCTTTTAAAGTTGACATTACTATTAATAGACTTTTTCTAAGTACAGTTACTCAGTCATCTACGAATCTAATTCTGTTAGCTAATTTCAGCACAGTTTTCTCAAGTTTTGTCCACAGCACCTTGTCAAATCTCTGAAATCCCTATTCCTTAATTTCTCTTGAAAATTAGGCTATTTCAGTGGGAGGAAAAAAATCCCAATTGGATGATTAAAAAAGTTCTTACACATATATGTATAGTATTTCGAGTGTTTATTAAATGTGCTTATCAGCTCTACCAGAACTTCATGAAACTCTTCAGTCACTTTTCATCAGAGCATAGGAACTTTTCCTATATTCTCCAGACATTGTACCTTCTTCAATTCAGTTATAGTATCAGTTGGCGTTTATCACTAGATGCGATTGAAAATCCCTAAAGCTTGAGGTTCCATCTTCTATAAAATAAATATGTGCTCCGTCATATTTGCAAACCGTGAATTTACTTAAATGAAAAGCTATGTGGAGAAGTTTTTAATGTATAAAATTTCAGACTGTGGAGTACCAGTTTACACGAATAAGGAATTTTAAATGATTATAGAGATGTCACACTTAATCTAATTCGATATTTCTTGCTAAGTGCAAAATGCTTTAGAAAGCTTTTCATATTTAGGAAATCAAATGATTATTTATTAGTATATTGTTACTTTTTGCAAGGGAGCTAAGGTTATAGATTTTAGAAATTGTTAGCCATGTAGTAAGGGTCCTGGCAGAGAACAGAAAGTGATTTGAGGAGGACTTAATAGAAGCACTCTTTACAATGGTACGGGCAAGGTTTAGGTTGCCCAGCAAGGGAAAACGAAGGATCCTGGGGCTGCTGGGGGAGCCATTATCACTCTTTGGGCTAAATGAATAGGAGAGCGGGCACAGGGAGTACAACTCAGAGAAGGTAGTTGTATAAAGAGGACAGCTGACAGGAGCAGTGGCCTTTGGCCAACTTGTGGTGACTCTGGAGGAGCCAGATCTCACTCTCTGCCTATGCTCCTGATCTCTTGGCTAGTGCCTCCTGTTGGTTGAACTCAACTGCAAGTATGAAGGCAAGGAAACTTATTGATATAGTATCTGAAGGTCATCTCTCTGGAGCACAGGGTGGATGGGAAATAGTGGGAAAGTGGATCTGGAGGAGTAAACAGAAAATAGCAACCATATCAGCCAAAGTAAAAGGAATAGGAAAAGGTAAAAGTAAATGTTAGTGATAATAATTTGTTTATTGTATTGTTTCTCTACAATTATGACTTTTTCCTTTCCTTTTTAAAATTTCATGACACAGGTCCTGGGAATGTTCAAAGACCAAAAAATACATCGGTAATATCACAGAAAAATCACACTTATTTTTATTTTTATTTGAAAAATATTTTTCATTAATGCTAGCTATTTTTTCAAAGGCCAACAAGAAATGTGAAGAGGCTCGCCAAGAAAAAGAAGCAATGGTAATGAAGTATGTAAGAGGTGAGAAGGAATCTTTAGACCTTCGAAAGGAGAAAGAGATACTTGAGAGAAAACTTAGAGATGCAAATAAAGAATCTGAGAAAAACACTAACAAAATTAAGCAGCTTTCTCAGGAGAAAGGACGATTGCACCAGCTCTACGAAACAAAGGTAGAATTTGTGCTATTGTACCTTATTTGAAATTTATTGTTTGCTTTTTCTTGTTTAATCAGTCATAACTTAATGTGAGTAAACCGCTATTAAACATAAAGTTGTTTAGTTTACCTTCTTAGAATATGTGTGCTTTAGTAATTCTGGTTTCTTGTTACTTGTCTACAAAAAATGTTTGCTGGGAAAAGATGAGAAATTGACACATGTTGTTTATGAGATAACTTTTTCTTGATAGATCTTTTAAAAAGCTTTTTTATTAAGTCTATGTTGAAGAAATGAGTTTGTGCTCAAAAGAATTTATTTTGGCAAAATATATACTTAGTAGTGTCAAAACGTGCATAGTTTAATAAGTTAATCAGAATCTTAATGTAACACTCATCATAGAATAGAATTTATATTTTTTTTTTTGGAAAAAAGCATGTTCTTAGATGCTGTCTAAGGAGATTCCATTACTGAGCTATTCAGAGCCCTTGCATTAAGTTGCAGCCTCATGACATGGTCTTGTTTCCAGTAGATTAGCATTTCTTGATGATGAATGTTATTTGTTATTAATTAACTTTTAGATCAGGAATGTTGTCATTGTTCTCAGGAATTCTGGCAAAAATCAGTTTAATTTCGTATTTTATCTTAAAGCCAGCTGGTTAAGAAGAATCTTAAAGATATGCTTGTACTTGTAACATACCTAGTTGGTTAAAATATATATATGTTAATTATGTTTGTTAATTGGATATAGGATTTTACTCTGCTCTTATTATATGCCCTTTAAATCAGTTTTATAGCTCATAGTCCATAATGTGCCAGCTTCTGAATTATAGTGTTATTGCATTAATTATTTTGAGAAAGTATAAAAGATACACAAATATTTGGTTGATTGTCGAATAAAAAATGTGACCTAGTGATATTATTTTAGGAAGGTGAAACTTCTAGACTCATCAAAGAAATAGACAAATTAAAGGAAGATATCAGCTCTCACATCATTAAAGTAAAATGGGCACAAAACAAATTAAAAGCAGAAATGGATTCACACAAGGTGAGTAATATAATGCAATGGAAAGTTATTAGAATCATTTTTAAGAGCAAATGAAGTACTAGTTAATGAGGCATAAAACTTAATTTAGTGACTCCTATACGATAGATTGGGCCTGAATATTTGGTGATTATGAAAAGATATTTTCTCATATAATTTACATATTAAATTGGGTAGAATGTTAAATTTTATCATTCATTGTTTACAACCTCCAAATTGATTTTGTTCTTTAAGCATTTTTTGGTATTACTTTATATTAAACATTGTCAGAAATTTGAGAGGAAGAGGAGAATCTATAGGTTATAAAAATTGAAAGTATACTCTGGGAAATTTTTAAAATACCACTGATGCTAGGAGTCTTCTAATCAAGAAATATAAATTCTTATTTAAATACAAAGGTAATATAAAGATTTTTAGAATAAGTTAAATGTGTATTATGAATATAATTCCATTGGTATTGTGCCTACTTATGAATATCATTTTACCAAAAACTTACTATAATGAAGAATGATTATAAAGGCTGATTCCTGATGCCATAATTTTAAGCACTAACTGAAGTAGTATTACAGGTAATAAAAATCCGAAGATGACAGAATGTGAAATAAAAGAACAACTCTAAAATATGACAGATAAAAGAACACTGTTACGGCAGTAATTTCCAAGTTTTCAAAAATAGGCTTAATGATATTGTTCAAAACCATAATCATGAGTTATCTCACTAAATAATTCTAAAGTTGATAGAAGCGGGTGGCTCCATAGTGTAGTGGTTAGCACGTCTGCTTTACACGCAGAAGGTCCTGGGTTCACGCCCCAAGTGGAGCCATGGACCATACCCCGGTATGCCAGGCCCCCTGAATACGCTGCGGGGGCCAGGTCCTGGTGGGCCAGGCCCCGGGTGCATCCCGCAAACTTGTGGGAGGAGATGCCGCACCTTCAGAGATCCAGTTCTTAAGGGGAAACAGCAACATCCATAGGTCAAGGGCAGAAGCGATGCGGGGGGATTAAAGAGGGGGGAAAAATAATAAAGTCAGTAAAACTGTTAATAACTTTTGGATATTTGTGTAGAGTATTATCTGAGAAAACTGTAGGATAATATAATCTCACTGGAGCATAGATATGGCTGGTGGAGGTGGCAGTAGATCTTTATAGAACATGGTTTGACTGTGCTGGGTACTTGCCAGACATTTTTGCTTCAGAGAAAATTAAAGTAGTGGAGTCTTGGGTGTCAAGACAGAGTCTAGAGCAGCAGGAAGTACCAGACTGTAATATACTGCAGACCTAATGTGCGACTAGGGGATGGTATATTTTACGATGCAGCCCTTCGGCAAGACTCCACCACTTACTTTACTATGCTCTTCTCCCAGATTATCATTTGTCAATGATAGCCTCATTCTTAAGTGGTTTATTTACTCATAAGGTTCACTAATTAGAAACCCAGGCTCACTTTTAATTAGCTTTGCTGTTATCTCACTTAGTAAAACTATATTCTGTGTTCTTTTCTATAACTCTTCTATTCTGTAACTATATTCTATTGCATTACGGAGTAACAGGGTCCAAGGTCTCGCCCACCTTAAAAATAAAGAACAAAATATATGAAACAAAGAATCTTAGACCTGGGATAACACAGGCAGCATAGGACAGTGATCTCTGAGAGAAGGGAAATAAACGAGATGTAATACCTGGAGTTCTCAGGAGAGGAACCCAAACAGAGCCCAACAGTCTTCCTGAGTTGAGGAGACAGAGTTTGATGTATGGGGACCAGTGCAGAGCACCAGAGAAGAGAAAGGTATGGAGATCTGCATTGTATTCCTCTCAGTTCTTCAGCTCACTGCTGATCATTATATGTGTGTGAGAACACTACAGAGATGGAGAAAGAACAGAAAGGAGTAGAGACAGCAGTTTCTAAAGCAGCTTACACACAGCTAAGAATTGTTCATGTTTCCATCAGCCAAAGGAAAGTCCTCAACACAGGGCATCTAGTGGTCCTCAGAAGGGTGTTGATTCAGCACTGGGGACTCTTAAGCCTTAGACTAAAGTCTGTTATGAACCCACCTAATAAAGCCGTAGAAAAAAGCCTCAAATCACATTGTTTTGAATAACTTAACTATGCCCCAGAACAAAGCCCAAAAATATTTAAGTGAGTACAAATATCTCCAAGATTTAAGAACATAAAATTCACAATATCTAGTATCCAATAAAAAATTACCTGACACGAAAAGCAGGGAAGTATAGACTCAATCAATAGAAATAAAGCCAGAAATCACATGGATGAATTAGTAGATAAGGATATTAAAAAGTTTATACACACACACACATATGCCCTATATTTGGGAAGATAGATAAAAGTATAAGTATGTTAAGGAGAGACATGGGAGATATTTAAAAAGGCCAAACTGATATAACGTCTGAGACAGAAAATACACTGATGGAATGAACAGATTTGACACTCTCGAAGACAAGACTAGTGAACTTGAAAAACATATATGAAAACATAGCAATAGAAAACTGTATGCTAGTGACTCCCAGATTTAGAACTTTTACTCAGAATTCCATGTTTATATATTAAAGTAGCTACTTGACATCTGACATCTTGGATGGTTCATCGGCATCTTAAACTCAACAAGTTTAAATTAGGTGGATAACATGCCCCTTCCCTACCTTGCTTTCCCATCTCAACAAATGGCAGTCCATCCTTTTAGTTGCTCAGGCCAAAACCTTTAGATTTATTCTTGAGTTTTCTCAGTCATCATATCCAGTCCCTTAGCAAATCTTGCTCAGTCCTTTCGAGTCTTTACTCATCTATCACCTTCTCAATGGGACTTTCTCAGGCCGCTCTTTCTGAATTTTCATCACCTCCTCCAAACTTTCTCGTGTCTTTATTTTCTCTCCTTAGTACTTGTCGCTATATAATATAATATATGACATACTATATATATATGTTATATATAATATAACATATTTTTACTTATGTGCCTGGTACATAGTAGGTGCTCAGTGAATATTGAATGAATGAAACAGTTAATACCTTGACCAAAACACATTTAATGTGATTCTTACTTTTTTTTTATTCAATTATTTAATAAATATTTTTGGCATATAGGAATCTCTCAATTGCTAATTTTTGAGTGAATTAAGTGAGTAGCTACTATGTGCCAGATTCAGTTGATGATATAGAATTTGAGGGGAAAAAAAAAACAAAAAACAAAGTTCCTCTCTGTCCTCTTGTAGAAGTAATATTCTAAATATTAAAAAAAAAAAAGAACAGTATTTGAAAAAGTCTCCAAATGTTTATATTTTAAAAGTGATACTGAGTTTTTATATAAGTCAAATTATTATTAAAAGACCAGCAGCTGAAAGTACATAATTCAGAGCTTAATTGTATGGTATATTTATACAAAAACAATGATATACAAGAAGCAGTGTGTGAAGGATTGATGAAGTTTAAAAGGTTCAGAGATGAAGGGAAAGGCATTCCAAGTGGAGGAACAACAAGAAAAAAGTGAAATGAGTATTTGCTATTTGGGAAGACCACCCTAACTAGAGCAGAAGGTTTATATTAGGTATTCCTTTATTAATTCAGCAGATACAACTTGAAGCATTAATATGTGGTAAGTACTGAGCTAGGTGCTGCCGAGAAGCTGTATCCTCAATCGGAGAAGACACGTACAGCCCATTGTGTCAGTTGTTATAATCTACGAATGCCATGGATTCTATCGATGGGAAGGCAGAATAGCAGCATTTACCCGTTTCTGAAGGGAAGCTACTTGGAGGAGATGATTCTCATTTGAAATCCACATATTAGCCAAAACCATGGGACTGGATGGTACACTGAAGGAATTTGGAGAAAGAGCCGCAGGACAGGGCTGTATCTTGGAAAACACCACAGGAAGTAAAAATCCAGTCAAGGAGACAAAGCAACAACAAAAAGGGACAAAACAGGAGTATACTGTGTTGTAATGGAAACAGGAAGGATATTCAGGGTCAGGAGAGGTCAGAACTGGAGCAAAGTCAAGAATAAGGGATGAGAAAATGAAAGTCATTGAATTTGCTGAGAGAGTAATCCCTGTAAACCTTCAGAATTGCTGTTTTAGAGTGGTTTGGAACAGAAACCAAATTGCAGAATGAATCTATAAAAGCAGTTTTTGACTAGATATCATGGCCATAAACCAAAGAATTGTCTTTTATGTGTGTGTGCAAAGAACTATTTAGTATTTGCTCTTCTTGTCATATCAGATTAGTTAGTAAATTCACATGATTTGCTGAAAAACCCTATCAAACTTAACTTTATTTAATGGGTTTCAGTTATTCGACCCCTCAGTGGCAGTGCTGAGACAAGAACTTTCCATTCTCTGGTCATTGTTCTTACCATTCATCACATCGTTGTGCCAAAGTGTGTCACTGTCTTTTTGTCAATGCAGGAAACCAAAGATAAACTCAAAGAGACAACAACAAAGTTAACTCAAGCAAAGGAAGAAGCAGACCAGATACGAAAAAATTGTCAGGATATGATAAAAACATACCAGGTATGCCTAACTTTTCAGGTAGATTAGTAGCAAATTATGCCAAATATCAGTACTCTTTTTTTTTGTTAACTTTTTGTATCTGTAACATTTGAAGCGTATAATGTATTTGGTAGGGCAGTTAAATAAAATACAGGCTATTCCTTATGTTAAAACACTTGTAGCTTAAGTAGAGAAGTTATTAGAAAGTTTTTAACCAAATAAAAACACTAGAAAATGCCAGAAGAATGAAGAGTACAAGGAAATGTATAACTTAAAAAGAAAACCACTCTTTATTATGTTATATATCTTAAGTATGCTATTCTTGTTCATGCAAAATTGACATTTTAAATATTTCAGTGCAGTCATCATTTTTAAATACATAAGCTTTGTATTTCTCAATTAGTAAGCTTAATTGCCAAAGCCTTCTTCACTTTTCAAAGTATAAAACTTTAAGAATTAACTCATACCTTTTTCATTTCCTTTCTATTAGGAGTCAGAAGAAATTAAATCAAATGAGCTTGATGCCAAGCTTAGAGTCACTAAAGGAGAACTTGAAAAACAAATGCAAGAAAAATCTGACCAGCTAGAAGTGAGTAGTTTTGTTTTATGTATACCCTAGATAATATATATTGTGTAATAAATACAAAAGGAGAGAAATGCCAAGTATTTATTGTCATCTACTTTTAAGACCTTTTGGGAGGAGCTGGCAATAAATTTGAGATATAGTTTAGTACATAATGATTTATGGTTTCTTTTAAACTTTTTAAAAGATGCATCATGCCAAAATAAAGGAACTAGAAGATCTGAAGAGGACATTTAAGGAGGGCATGGATGAGCTACGAACCCTGAGGACAAAGGTAATTAAATTTTTAGTCATGACTCAAGAGGAAGGATAAATATTTTTAATTTTGGACTCATTCTGATTTTTGAAATGTTGGGGAAAGGATATTTATTATTTACTATTTGCTTTCCAAAGTAAAAGAACTCATGAGTATAATATCAGTTCATTAGCAATAAAATTAACTATTGTTGAAATGAAAATGTCTCCCACTTCGGTCCCTTTGAAGTATTTGCCAAACAATCCCGTTTTATTACACATTCGCTGTATCTATAACTTATCCTTGGGCCGCTGATCCAAAGGCACTTATTGTCAAATTAATTGGTAAGATTAATTTGACTTAAGAACTGTGAGTATAAGAAAATAACAGAAAGACTTTATATTTCTTCTGGGTATACTTAATAGTCTTGTATACAGTTTTAATTTCTAACTAGCTATTCTTACCAGTGTTTATTGCCTTTTTTGTAAGAATAGTATTCCTTTTAATATGATTGTAAAACATCTTATTATTGTATATCATTCATTTATTTATAAACAGGCTTTTATGTAACCATCTTGAATTTGCAATCACTTAATAATTTTTAAAGTTTTTTTCACATATCCTTCTATTTGTTCTCCATGACAGTTCTTTGAGGTAGATAGGAAGGTATATCCTCTTTTCAGGTAAGGCAATGGAGATTCAGCAAAAATTAAGTGACTTACTAAAACTTCCATGCCTAAATGAGTAGAAATCAGAGACTGAAACCCAGGACCGTTAACTTCTCATTATGTTTTCTTCACATTAATTAATACTGCTTTAGAATTAAGCTTAGATTCTTAGCATATAACCACTATCTGAAATAGTTATTAAGGAACAAGAAAATATTGTTTGTAGTTTAACTTGGTTATGATTATGTAATAGGTGAAATGTCTAGAAGATGAGCGATTAAGAACAGAAGATGAATTATCAAAATATAAGGAAATTATTAATCGCCAAAAAGCTGAAATTCAGAATTTATTGGACAAAGTGAAAATCGTGGATCAGATACAGGAGCAGCATCAAAGGTATAAAATGAGCAACTTCTGTTTATGCTAATCAACAGGTTTTTTAATTCTAACTCAGGGTTCTATTTTTAAATGCAATTATTTCATTAAACGGAATAATTTTATAGTTTTACTAGCTACACAATTTAAATTCTTGTCTTCATTAGAACTTTTTTGGATTTTCTTTAAAGTTCCCATTATGGCTTCTAAAAATCAAAGTTTATATTCCCTAAACATTGACAGTAGCAGTTTATAAGACAGAATGGATTTTAGTTTCCTTATCCATTCCTTGGCTTTCAAATTCTGTTAACTTTTGCACAGTACTTAGTTTTTCTTCTAAAAGGTAGATATGTATTATATCTTTGCATATATGTTGCTTGAGGTCAGGAGCTGAAATTATTTCTTGGCTTCTTATAAAACCATTTAGCTAAATTCTGCTCATGACATTACTTAGAAGAGCATGGATTCAGGTTGAATCCAAATACTTTTCATACCCCACTGATACCCAGGCTAAAGAAATCATCACCATCATCCAGAGTGATGCTGCTATCAATTCATGGTTAGCAACCTCAAATGGGAATAATAGTATACCTCTAATCCTACCACATGTCCTTAGAGCCTTCTCTCCCATCTGCTCAGCATCTATTCCAGATCTTACTGCTTTCTTCACACTTCTGTTCTTCTCACCCCATTTACTCTTGGCAGGCAATTATCTCTTACTTCACAGAAAAAAATAGTAGCTATGAGTTGACAGTTCTCTTAACCTCTTGCCGTCAGTCCCATGAACTTGGCCTGCATTTGCAACCATTCTTTTCTTTTTCTTCTATTATTAGGGAAGAAATGTTCCTGTTTCTCTCTAAATCGAATTGTTCTCTATTCAGCTGTGGGCTCCATGCTCTCCTGCCTTCTCAGGGTCTTTGTTAATTATTCCTTCTTTATCCTTTATCTCTTACCCTTCTTTTTCTACTGACTTTTTTCTTTCTACATTTAAATATTATTATATCTTAAAAACATCAAAACTGCTATGACCTTGCCCTACCTTTCTCCTTTTCTTCACAACCAAACATCTTTACAGAATCATCCATACTTGTCCCTCATTTTTTCACTTCTTTGTTCTATTTCTCTCCACTTCATTCTGGTTTCTACCCCAACATTCCATTAAAAACCGCTAATGCCTTCTTAAATCTAGTAGACACTCCTTCAGGCTAAGCCTTGCTTGAATTTTCAGCATTAATACCACTGAGCCTATTATCTTTCTTGCCGTGCCTTTGGCTTCGTTTCATCATGTTCTCTTGATGTTCCTCCCCACTTGCTGGTCACTCTTTTTTCTCAGTCTCCTTGGCAGCCTTCTCATTCTGTCATAAAACTCTCTTTTGTTCTTATTTTATTATAACCCTGGGTGATGCTATCTATTCTTACAGTATGCCACAGGACCTTCAAATCATTACCTTCAGCCCTTTTTGCTGAGCTCCAGACAACACAGGTATCAAACTTTAATAAGTCCAAAGCAGATTCATCTATCCCACCCACAAATCTGCTTCTCTGATGTTCCTGAGAAGAGCGATGAGTGTAGCATCCACATGGTTTTCCAACCCAGGAACCTGGGGGTCACCTTGGCTCTTCTCTCCTTATATTCATACATCTAACCACTCACAAAGTGTTATTAATGCTAACTTTTTAATGTCTTTTAAGTCCACTTTTTATATTCCCGCTGCTGCTACCATTATCCAAGCCATTATTAACTCTAGTCTGGAAAACTGCCACAGCTTCTAAACTGGTGTTTTTGTTTGTTTTTGCTTACTTTTAATGTTTCCCACACTGTGGTTAGCATCACAAGCTTTTTAAAAAGGAAATCTCAAAACCTTTCAATGATTTCTCATTGCCTCAAAGATTGCCCGGTGAGTTCAGAAGCCTTAACATGGCTGAGAAGGTCATTAGTGACCTGTCCCTTGCTACGCCCTCTATGCCTTCTACTTTTTCACTGTTGTGTTCCAGCAGTGGTTGATTAACTAATGTCGAGTGATCATCTTGTAAGTGTCAAGCTCTGTATTCAATGCTAGGGATAGAGTGCTTATCCTTATCTTCATCAATATTGAACACCTATTTGTGAAGACCGACAGGAAGCCATTTTCTTGTTCCCTTCTCAACTTGAGCACATTATTTCCTCCACCTGGAACATATTTTGTTCTCTTGTTCACTCCTACTTTTCCTTTTGGTCAAGAATTAGCAAACTATGCCCTACAAGCCAAATCCAGCCCACTGCCTTTTTTTGTGGAACACAGGAAACATAGCCACTCTCGTTCCTTTATGTGTTGTCTGTGGCTGCTCGCACACTGCAGTGGCAGAGTTGAACAGTTACAAAAAAGGCCATATCCCCCAGAGGCCTAAATTGTTTACTATCTGGGCCTTTTACAGGAAAAGTTTGCTAACCTTTATTCTAACTATTAGTTCAAGCATCATACTAGGTTAGGTGACTCGCTCTGTGCTTTCATCATCAAAAATGTTTTATCACGCTCATATAATTTTCCTGCTTGACTAAAAGCTCTGACCGTCGGTCCCACTCACTTATATTCCCAGTTCTTAGTTCCCAGTATATATTAGTCATTCATAAATATTTAGATGAATGAATAAAAGTACCTTTATAAAGCATATCATTCTATGAAAATTCCCAAACCATTAATTTAATGTCTTTTAATGGTTTAATTTTTTCTTAAATATAAACTTTGTTTTTTAGAGGTAAACAAGAAATTGAAAATTTGAAAGAAGATGTGGAAAGTCTTAATTCTTTGATTAATGACCTACAAAAAGACATCGAAGGCAGTAGGAAAAGAGAATCTGAGCTACTACTATTTACAGAAAAGCTCACTAGTAAGAATGCACAACTCCAGTCTGAATCCAATTCTTTACAGTCACAATTTGATAAACTTTCCTGTAGCGAAAGTCAGTTACAAAGCCAATGTGAGCAAATGAAACAGACAAATATTAATTTGGTAAGTATAAATGTACATTTAACATTTAAAGCAACATAGCAAGAAGCACGAATTAAATTTCTCTAATGGCATAAACCTAATGGTAGTTGATCTAAACTCTCTTTTATTGGCACTCTTATAATTTCAAATGCTGTGATAACTGTTAATTTTTTCTTTCAACTTACGTAATTTATAATAGAATTTTCCCTAAACTAATTATGAAGAAGTATTTCACATTTGAAAATAAGAAAACCAGAATTTTGTCATTCTTATTTGGAAATACTATATATATTTTAAAAGTATTTTAAATTTTGTATTTTTGTAGTTTAAAAATTGTTTAATATTTACAAGTTATGAGAGCACCTTCAAGTTACTTATAAAAATAATTTGGGACTTTGGTCTAAAAATACAGAGACCTGTGTCACATATTGTTTTGCATGTATAGAATGGCAGATGTATTTAATGTATCCCCCTGCATTACCGCATGAAGAATTAGAGGAGCTCAGTACACAAAACCTAGTAAGGAGTGATGATAGAAGGATCTACTATCAAGGACCTTGTATTCTGAATGCTTTAAACCATGAGAAATAATGGAAACATACAGTCACCTATTAAAATTCGTGTTTTTTTAATCTCGTTTAATATTCAGGAAAGTAGATTGTTGAAAGAGGAAGAATTGAGAAAAGAGGAAGTCCAGACTCTGCAAGCTGAGCTCACCTGTAAACAAACAGAAGTTAAAGCACTGAGTACCCAGGTCGAAGAATTGAAAGATGAATTAGTAACTCAAAGACGTAAGCATGCCTCTAGTGTCAAGGATCTTACCAAGCAACTTCAGCAAGGTATGAAATTCTTCCATGCTCAGGCTTGAATATTTTTTGTTTCTTTTAATTATTAGAATTTATAGAGAAATATATATTTTACATTAGGTTCCACCACATTGATTAGAGCCTTATGTTCTTTTTAATGTATTAATATTCATAAACCAAATTGCTAAACTTCTTGCAGTTACATGAATAATGTGTAGCATCCTTTATGTTAAAGGACATTTATTCTCAGAACCACAAAATGTAAGAATTGGGAAAGTACTTTAGGGCAGTAGCGTCTAAACTTTTTTGATCACATACTTCTGTTAGTAAAAGGTACTTAAGTATTTGTTCTCTAATTTATATGTATTTCTTTATAAATTTTAAACATGTATTACTCTATTTTATGTGTATTAGAAAAAAATAAGAAAATAGAAATTTTAAAAGATCAGATTTATAAGTATAAATTAGAAGTTCTGATATTTTCTGCCTACACATCTGTGAATTGTTTTGTGCAGCGTCTATGGCAGCATTTAGGGTACCTGCACCCCAACTTGGAGACTTCTAACTTAGAGATTGTTGAGACCTAACCCTTTATTTTATAGGAAACCGAGACCCAAGAAAGATGTAGATTAACCAAACATAATGATTAACAACCAGATCTGGAACCCAGATTTCTTTGATTTAAAAATCCATACAGTTATTGGGAATCTATGCCCTGTGCTTGGACACAAAGATGAATAAGATTTGCATTCTGACTTCTTATTCTCTACTATTCCCCTCTGCTTTATTCGTGTCAAAATAGGATGAATATAGAAGTAAAAGAGACTTAGCATTTTCTTAATAGAAATATATTCAGATATTTTCCATAAGAACTCAGTTTGTTTTTATAGATATAATTAAAGAGAATTTGGGGGTAGAGATTTCTGGTACTCTTCTACATCTTTCAAGACTCCAAAAGTTATTATGCTCAGTGCACCTTAGTGATACCGGTATCAATTATCATAATGTTGTTTCTATATATTTTGTATTTGACCTGCACATTTCTAGTTGTCATTTTTTATAAATGATACCTACAGCCCTCCTGTCTAAAATATGTATTCAAGAAATTCTCCTTGCTATCTCTGCCATTTTGGCCTAAGTGATTTTACAATTAAAATCAGAGGTAGTGGAGGCAAATGGTCATGATAATTGTCACAAGTACTCACTTTTTTCTCTATAGCACGAAGAAAATTAGATCAGGTTGAGAACGGAAGCTACGATAAAGAAGTCAGCAGCATGGGAAGTCGTTCTAGTTCATCAGGTAAAAATAACTAGTTTTAGTTAATGATTGCTTATGAAGAGAAAGAGCATTTTTTATTGTAAAATATATTAATATGCTTTTCTTTCATTTTGAATTTTAAAAAGTGATAGTTATACATAATTATATTGTAAAAAATATTTCCAGTTAAATGTTTAAGTTCTAATTATTACCCAAGGTTACAAGTTTGTCATGTTGTCTGTTTCTCTACCTCCTTTTTTCTTACCTGCTTCTTTATTCTGTGCAACAAGTTCCCCTTCAATTTTTAAATTCAGATTTGTATTCATTCATATAGAGAGATGTGTTATAGTATGATCTCTCTTTTACTTTTAACATCCGAGAACTAATGAAATGGCTATGATTATATATCAGATTTTTTATATATATACACTTATGTATTTATTAATCTATTAGCTTTTCTCGTGGTAAATATGCCTGTAGTCTAAAGCAGAAATGAATAGCGTCTATGAAATTATGATTGGTAACATTATGAAAATTATAATTAGCAAAATATCAGTGTATTTATCATTTTTAGAATGCTAGGAATTATACTAAATGCTTGAAACATATCATTTACTCTGCAGAAGTCACGTGAGGTATTCTAATGCCCATTTTACAGATGGGGAAACTAAGATTCAGAGTGTTTCCATAACTTGCCCCAAATCCACAGCAACTGAACTCTTAGATTCTAGGGTCCTTGCACGCCACTGCGCTGCACTCCCTCCCAGGAGTTGCATATTCAGCGAGAAAATGTCTTCAACTGTTACAATAGTGAGAAAACTGTGTAGTAGAAAAAACATGGGTTTGAAATTACATGTAGGTATTTAAATCCCAGCTCTGCCATTTATTAGTATATGACTTTTGAGTCGATATATTACTTGTTTTAAATGTACAAAGTGGGGTGAAAAAAAACACATCTTTGTAGGGTAAAGAGGATCAAAGGTTGTTTTCAGCTGTTAATAAAAATAATAGCTAATATTTACTTAATGCTTACCATATATGCATTGTTCTAAGCACTTCACATATATTAACCCATTTAAATGAGGGTAATATACCTTTGAGGTAAACGATGTCATTATTCTCATTTTAAGATGAAGTAACCAAGGTACAGAGAGTTAAATAACTTGTCCAAAGTCACACAGCTAGAATGTGGAGGAGTGGGATTTGAACCTAGGAAAACCAGCTCCTGAGCTTAACCAAACTGGCTATATTCTGTCTTCTCTATCTTTCTCTTTCTCTTGGTTTAATTTTGGCCTTACTTCAGACTTGTTATTTCTGACTTTTTCTTAAGTTTCTTCTTGTTGGTACTCCCTCATCCTGTTCCTGAAAGACATAGTAGATTTGTACTTCTGGTCACTAGTGTATTCAGAAATGAGAACTTAGGCCAGGTATGACATGTGTTCTGTACCCAACTCCGTTAGATTGAATATTTGAAAATGATGCTAGAAGAAATAATATGAGATTAGAGATGACGCTAGAGCTAGTATAATGCCTAAATTTTGTTTTGTCGTTAGGGTCCATTAATGCTCGAAGCAGTGCAGAAGATCGATCTCCAGAAAATACTGGGTCGTCGGGAGCCGTGGATAACTTTCCAGAAGTAGACAAGGCCATGTTGATTGAGAGAATAGTGAGGCTGCAGAAAGCACATGCCCGGAAAAATGAAAAGATAGAATTTATGGAGGATCACATCAAACAATTGGTGGAAGAAATTAGGAAAAAAACAAAGTATTTATTATTATTATTATTATTATTATTATTATAGTAACATAATCTGTTTGAAATACCATTATTCAGCTGGTAAAGTTACTGTTTTCAAGTTAATCACGTCAAGATCTTATCTTTCAAAAAATAATTCTTATAGTAATTGAGTTCTCAATCTTTTAATGATCACTTATTAGTTATAGGTTTAGAAATACAGAGGTGAAAGAAAATGCATATCTTTCCTTTAAGGTGATATAGAGTTCAGTAGACAATTTTTTTAAGATACCAAAATAATTTTGGACTTAAAAAGATAGTGTTCAACTTAGCTTTTTATTTTCATGACTGTGGTTCTAAAAGATACATAGGCTTGTGGATTATCTTTCCTGTTGGGTAGAACATTGTGGGGTATTTTATTGGGCACCTGCTAAGTACAGGGCACTATGCCTGTGACTTAACAATATCTCATTGATTTCTTACATCTGTTCAAGGAGAGAATGAATTCTGTAATTTGGCAGATAAGTTACTGGGACTCAGGTCAAATCACTAAATGTTCCAGAATCACCACTCATCCTGTAAGTGACAGACTAAGAGCTGGAGATCCAAGCCCAGCTGTGAGGCTCCAGACCTGTATGCCACATTCCTCTCACAAATACTGTATTCATTTAAGAGGTACACACACACACACACACACACACACACACAGTGGTCTTTACTCATGACTTTTAACTTTTTTTTTGAAATAATTTTAGACTTAAGGAAAAGTTAGCCTATGACTTTTAAAAGAAAAAGAGTAAAATACAGTACTAAGTTTAAAGTAATAAAAAAGAAATAGACAAGCAGTGTTTATCTTTAATCTAACATCCATGTTAAAACAAAAATGGGATCTTTAAAGAAGACATCTGAATGAGGAAACTTCATTTATTTTCTAGTATAGTTCTGTTATTAGTAGGTATTCATGCTGATCATCTTCATGCTTATGATTAGTTGACTTGCAAATTCTAATGTTTTTAATTTTGCAGGTACATAATTGATAGTGTCGCTTTATTTTGCAGAATAATTCAGAGTTACATTTTACGGGAAGAATCGGGCACACTTTCTTCAGAGGCATCTGATTTTAATAAAGTCCATTTAAGTAGACGGGGTGGCATCATGGCATCTCTATATACATCCCATCCGGCTGATAGTGGATTGACATTGGAACTCTCTTTGGAGATCAACCGAAAATTACAGGCTGTTTTGGAGGATACATTACTAAAAAATATTACTTTGAAGGTATTCGTTGTTTTCATTCACTTACCAGCCAATAAACATGGCAAAATGATGCCTCTGTCATAGTTTGATCTAGCACATAGATGGACTATTTCTAAATGTAAGATAGCCAGAGATAAAATATGTGTGGTTTTCTCTTTTAGAAAAGTACAATTTTTAAAACTAGCAATGAAAGAAATAACAAAAAATCAGTTTAGCTATTGGGTAATTTGTTAAAAACTATAATTTTTAAATTTAATTTGTTAAAATTGATTACCGAGACTTTTTAGGATTGAGGCATTTACTTTCTAAAGTATTTTCTAGCTTTATTTTATTTTTTACAGCTATTGTCTGACCCAACTATTCTATTTGTGCTGTATTTGGACCTTGATGGTAATGGATTTTAAAAACATATTTTTTAAATCTAGTAATAATTTTATGCAATAGAATTTGCTGTAGCTTCAGGGAAAAGATTAAGTATGTCTCTGAAATGTGTAGGACTACTGAAACAGCTGACTGCCTAGTTTATCTCACATAGCATTTAAGACTAATCATTACTCTTTCAGCTTCAAAATTTCCATTAAAGTAGTTCAAACTGAATCTTTTACTTATTATACTTAGTAGTTCTGTTTTCTTTTTGATCCTTCTCCAATGGTTCAAGGAAAATCTACAAACACTTGGAACAGAAATAGAACGTCTTATTAAACACCAGCATGAACTAGAACAGAGGATGAAGAAAACCTAGCACGAAACTGTTGATCAGCAGAGAGACAAAAACCACACAAGGAGCAGGTGCCACTGCCCAGTATTTTTGGAAGTGTTTCTTTGCTTTGTGTGTCAGCCAGTAAAAAATTTGTTTTGTTTCATCTGTATAAAAAATATCCTTTTACAATAGGAGTGCATTGCTATGTATACTTTGAGTGTAAACTTAATGAAATTTGTTTTTGTATAGTGACAGCCTGTCATTGAACCAAAACAACCTAATTTAATTCGCTGATAGTCAAATGAAGTGCTTAACATTACAAGGGCTTTTGAACACTCCTTCTCCGTATTTCTTCCCTTTAAATTACATGTCAAAATTGATTCTGTCTTTTAAAAATTATGTGTGAAAGGACCAGGTATTCATTCAGTAATATGCTGTTTTTCCAACTTAAAACTAAAGACGTAATAAAAGTTTTTGTTTTGACACTCCAGTAAAACATTTGGTTGTGTTTTAAGGGGATGACAATGATTCTTAAATCTTTTAATTTTAATGCAGACTGATAGGAAAGATAGCTTGTGGTAACTAGCATTGATCAGGCATTGTATGCTCCTATCGGGTTTTCTTAAGTGTGTTAGGTACATTTTGTTCAGATTCAAAGTATTTGAGTTTATAGTTGAGTTTTTAAATCCTCAGTTGCATAAAATACGACTTTAAATAACATGCTTATTTAGAAATTTTCTGTGGACTTCAGTTATATTTTAAAATGTGAAATAGATTAGTTATTAAAACAGATGAATAATGAATTCTTTGAAACTGAAACACTTAAGTTTTATTAACATCAAATGTGAAGATAAATGTTTAAGATATTTATGAAGAACCAGTTCCCAAGAGAATGTGATATATGGCACTGTTAACCATTTCATTTGAGCTCCCATTTGTTACTGTTGATACATGTTATAGTGGAGTGAACTTAGAGTCCCCAAATATGATGTTTCAGTATATTTATTTAAAACACAAAATTTTAATCTGTAACCAAAGGAATTTTAGAGCCAAATTTATGTATCCTATTGGTTTTTTCCAATATTTAAGATGTATACTTAAATGTTGCTATAATGTCAATATTTCTTTGTCATTGAATTTTTTCTCACTTATAATTTCCCACCTGTTAAAATTTCTGTGTGTGGTTTTCAAATTTCATTTTTTTTTTAGGTCATATCTAGGATTGGATACCTTGGCTCATACGCAGATAGATATTGCAGCAAGTCTCATTTTCATTTTGGATTTTTGAATCCTTTTTTCTTCCCTTAAGTAAGCTTTGGGATAATGAGTTAAAAGCCTTTAAAGAATTGTGTAGCTCTCAAAGTTGGGCTCATGGTGGCAATACCCCTTTAATGTGTCTTAACATTTTTTTTTATCATCGTTTCGAAAGATCATTTACTAAGGATTAGATGATTCAGTGTAGTATCTTATTTTTTCTGTATATTGAGTTATATATTGTCATCCTAAACCAAAATTTTTTTACTTCAAAATGGAAACAAATATGTTTAAAAACATTTTATTTTTAAAATAGCTGTAAAAAGTACTAGTCTTACCATAAGGTGTCTTGTCCTTTTTACCAATAGTGATTTATCAAAATAAAGGAAAAAAGGGTAAGTGCAATCAATCTGAATTATTTTCCCATTTGTTTTTAGTCATACTCTTGATACTGCTAAAGACTAGAGTAGCCAAGATACCTAAATTTTTATGGCTTCTTTTGTGATACAGATTCATACACTACAATATTTGTTGTTTTTTTCTTTTAGAACACAAACGTGTTAGTGGAGACAAATAGTGATCAGTTCCATAGTGTCCAATGTCTATACACTTTTAAAAAATATATACGTTTATTATATACAAAATTGAAACATTCCAATATTGACATTTGTGCCACCATTCATTTGGAGAAACTTAATTGTGAAACAATTTTCAGAAGAAAGCTATTATAAATCATATTTCAACTTATTACTCCCTCCCAAATGTAAGAAACTATGGAAAACTTTTGAAGAAAATGCTTTATTTTCATTTTGTTCTTTAGTTTCTACTACATCCTTTCTTATATGGATCAAGTCTGAGCAAAATACTGTACAAAAAATGTACATATATCAGATCTCTTATCCCTATACTGATTCACAAACAGCTCCTGATGGAAGGATTTAGAGGGTCTTAAGAGAAGAATGGGGTGTCAGGAAAAGGAAAATGGTCTGGATAAACCCAAAATCCGGGGGAAATTTATTATGAATTATACAAATCAAAGGTTGTTTTGGTTAGTTAGCACTATTTTGGTTTCTTTGAGCAGGAAATTATTTTGTGTGTGTGTATATATGTTATACACTTCACAGGATTTCAATTTTAAGTGAATACCTACTGTGACTCCCTTTTTTCCCATACCACTTTAACCTGTTACGTTTTAACTGAAAATAGTGGGTTTGGGCAGAATAATGAATTTGAACTTTGGTATTTTCTTTTTAACTTTCTATCTTCATAATCGTTTAAAGCAATTTATCTTTAAATTAAATTTTATCAGGCTACCAGTATGTTATTTATTCTTTTAATAAACACATTTGTTGAAAACCAACCATTGCCAGGCACCTTTCTGGGTATTGTGATTATATTGGTGAGCAGGCCAGACAGCAGTTTCTGTTCCCATAGAGCCTATGGTCTAGTGAAAACATATGGGAGGAAGCAGGGGGATCTCGTTGAGCCTGTGTAGCTCCCAGCCAGCCCCTTGTGGGAAGAGGGTTAATCTACTGGTAAAAGTAGGTAACCTAGAGGTCTCACTCTGGTATGAAGTTTTGGGAAGTGAATCCTTACCAAGGTATGCTGAGAGCAGATTGCTGTTTTCTTGATACTTATGCACATTTCCATCTTTGTGTTACAGTTTGGTGATTAAATATTCCTTGAGAAAAAAAACCCAAAGACCGTAAAATGGCATTCGATTTTTGCCATTTTAGTAAATTATTAATGCCTACTTGATGTTCATAAAGATGAATCTAATCATGTATATTTCTGAACTTTGGTTTGCAGTCTATTATTTTCTAAAGATTTTTACATATTAATTTAGACCAAAATTTACCAGTAGAAGAAAAAAAAGCATTAGAAACCATTAATATTGTCAACGTTATGTGTGCTACCCTTGTAAAAATATTTTTATCAATCATGTTGTTATTCAATATGGTTAATTTGCCTTATGAATGTTGACTCCAGTAGCCTATTTTTCAATAATCTTTTTATTTTAAAACAGAACAGTTATTTTTTGACAGTAAGATTGTTAATTTTTAACACCAGTTGGTGGCACCAGAAACCTGAAAATTTTTCAAAGCTGAACAAGAGAAAATAATTGAAAAAGTATTTATACATCAAGAATTTTCGGGAAAATAAATGAAAAATATAATTGTATATTAAAGATGTATTTTTCCTCTGGAATGGAATTCTTTTTTAAAATGCAATACGGCTGTCCATTTTGACTACAATGATGACACTCGTTTCTCTTCCAAAGTTCATATATGTAGACAGATATATATATATATGTATGTGTGTGTGCATTGTACATATAATCTTTAATTTGATTACACTGTTCATTTTGTAAATATGTTTCTGTATAAAATGAAGCTTTTCAAGAGAATCCTATGTATATATTGTACTTATTAAATAGGTAATGCCTGTTTACCAAGTCGTATTTTAATGTCATCTTTGATTATTTATTTACATACACCGCTTACTAAACAAACTGATTCTCCAGACTGTTTGAATTTCTTTTTTAAACCAGACTAGAAATTTTTGCTTTCCATGTTTATCTTTATCTTATCCTTAATTAGAAGTCAATGAACAATAGTAAGCAGGTTAAATTGAATGCTGGGCTGTATTTTAAATTTTCGTTTAAATTATTGATGACAAAATTTGGCCTTTTACAAAAGACAAATTTTCACATATTTATGTGAAAATTTCTCATTGAACTTGATGATCCAGTGGTATTCAGATTTCCCACAAAACAATGGAATTTACTTGGCCAAATTATCTGGCTTTAATAAAGATCTGTGTTCAATAAATATTGAAATAGCATTAATTTAATGAAGTGAATGTGTGTGCTGGATATTTCAAATTACATTGTGTTGTTTTCCTTTTCTGTAACAGTTCTGGTACTTAAGTTATGCCACATATTTTAACCAGTTCACTATTGGAAGGGTTCCCCTGAAATCAGGACCTTGGACTAAAGGTAAAATTAATAGACTAGAGGAAGCTTTCCCAACATCCTTAACAGTCTGCCTTTGGTAACCTGTGGATTTGTTTGCAAGAGAAAAGAATAAATATATTCAGGAAGAGGGTGAGTTTGGGAAAGGGATGTTGGCTTGTGGTTCTTAACTAGTTGGTATGACCCACAGTCTTAAGATTGGAAAGACGGTTATATCCAACGAACTTATATCCCAGTTTGTTCTTTTTCTTAAAGTCCGCTTCAGTCAGTGAGCGTAGAGAGCACACACTTCTCAGGACCAGCAACTTGGAAAAGCTGCCTCCATTTAACCAAATACTGATGCTGTTTTGCTGATTTTCCAAGAACAGTGTGACAAACTAAAAGTTTCTGTCCTTGTTGTGATGTACTGCTGATCCCTGAGTTAAGAGACTCGATTCTTATATTTTAAAAGACAAATACATTTAAGAAGTATTCTGAGGAATTTTCAGCTTTTTTTTTTTTTTTTGATTGCGTAAAGATCTTGCTTTTTTGCCAGGCAGACTGACTGCCCTAACTGTACTCTAAAATAGGCATGAGATGTATTAAAGAGAGGAATCCCTACCATTTAACCCAATGCAAAAATAGATTTGTTGAAAGTTTAGAAGCCACTGAAATTAACTTGTTGATAGTCAACTTGTAGTAACATTAACTTAGGAAATATATTAAATACTAAAATGGCTTTCCACATCATCCATTTCACTATGTGGTTTTTGTTTTTAATAACCAGTTAAAGGCCCAAGGGCAGGAAGTGGTATGTATGCATGTGATTTCAGCACCCTCCCACTTTGCTTGTTCCAAGAAATGTCAATTAAACCTGCCCTCCTCTCTACTGTTTCTTAGGCAGGTACTTCTCGGCTAGAGAAGTTATCACAGATGCCCACCCACCCTGCTTCCCTTGCTGTAGGTCTGGAGCTGTGTTTCTGCTACTGCATAGGAGAAACACTTTTCAACGTCTGTTCTCACACACCATAGATCCTATTTCTCCAAAAAACCAGGTCCCCAGGAGTCTATGTTAAAGGAGAGTGCTGCTTTGGGCTCTGAAGTACGCTTCCTGGATTTCATGTTTTGTTTCTGTGTTAATTTGGGGTGAGGGTGGAGGAATTGGAGGGAGACCCTGCTGGACTAGCAGGCCAAGAAGTCTGTTCCTGGTATCCTATTTAGAATTCAGAGCTCACTTCTTCACAGACTTAAGTGGGTACTTAAGTCTCTAATCAAAATTTATAGCGGGAAAAAAAAAAAAGGCTTCGTGTGCTTTCCTGAAACAATTACCACCTTTTTTCTTTACTTTTATGTGGTTAAATGCCTTCTAAGCTCCAAGGCACCAACTTTCAAAAAAAGTTGAAGCAGAGGCTGGGAGGCCCAGCCTCATGGTGTGGAGTGTGCGCCACACGCTCCAGTCCCAGGTCCCTTATGAGAAATTAGATGATCCCATCTCGTGATCTCACAATGGTGTTCTGCACTTGAAGGAGTCAGTGTGAGTAGCTTGAATGTCAAAGCCCAAGCTGTAGAGCACAGAGATCACTGATGGTTTCAAAGATGACCTTCTACCTGCCTGTCTGATGCCATACCCATTTCAGCAGCAACTTGGTATAGAGCAGAAGACAATCCTTCCTTTTGTCTCTGGCCACCCCTCCATGCCCCTACCCCGAAACACACAACAGACCTACGCCCAAAACAACAATCAGGACATTTAACTTGCTCAGAGGTGGTCTGGCTACCTCTGGGTTACCAACCTTCAATTCATCATCCTGCTTAGATGAGCTTTTATTACCGGGTCAGTCAAGTGAAGAAGAGACAAAAGGGAAAAGAGATTAAGTTCAGCAAGATTCCTTGTCAACATTTGTCAAATTCTAATTTTGATGGCGGGAGTGCTGCATCTCAGGTGGGCTCACCTGTGCTGTGGGCTGTATGCCAGGGGAAGCAGGACTGGGATAACAAGGCTGTTAAAGAGGTAACCACTAATGTCACTTTGTATCTTTTTGGAATTTTAAGTCAAACTAGAGGTGTACTAGCTTAACGTATATGTGTGTATATATGTTTTTTTAAAGACTGGGGTTTTGGAGAGTTAAACACTCAATTCCTGGTGAAGTTGCCTCAGGTAAATGTGTGTTGTCGGGGACGGGGTGAGGGGGTGCAGGGAGTTTTGTGAGGTGGTTAAAGGGCTGTTTCAGTTTCTAAGAGTATATTCATGTATTTGTAATTTAAAGTTTGATTTCCAGAAAAGATTTTTTAAAAATCCAATTTGTCATAGGAAATATTTACTTACTATACCGAACTGTTTTTAGATTGACCTTTGTTTTAAATGCTCATTAACAGATAAAATTTGTAGCTTAGAGAATTATAGGCTGTGGAACTGAGAAGCAGATACTTGATCAGTTTTGTCGAGGGGGAGCGGGGGTAAGGACCAAGTTCAAGTAAAGGTGAAGTCTGCGGTAATGGATATTTTAGTTCCAGGGCCGGGCTTCTCTCTTCCTAATACAGCTCTGTACTCGATCCATCCGTCAGTGAAGTTAAAAGGCACTTCGTGTGTTCTGGACACTTGTTCTCCAGCATGAGAAAAGTAGCGACTTATATGGACATGATTTGTCCTGTGAGGTGTTATTATGTGTTTTAGGAGTTTACCCAATGCTATATATACTTAAAAAGCAAAGTAGCATTTAGGAGCTGCTTTGGTCAGAAATCAGACACCGTGTACTGTATTGCTTTTGTATTTTAAGAGTGTTTGTTTTCCTTTTGGAATGAAGGAACACATTTAAAATGTAAACATATCAAGGCAGGGACAGGGAGTAAATACGAATTAACTGCTTTGAGTGAGGCTCAGACGACCCTATGCGGTAGGAATCAGACATAGTCATTTCCAGAATCTTCCTGCTAGGGATTTGTCGAGATGGCATTTGAACCAAGTGTGGAGATGCCTTCCACTGTCCTCTGCTGCCTCCCTGAAGTCACAGGTTCTAATACCTCAGTGAGTGAGTTAAAGTCATACTTATATACTTTTTCTTTGCACTAATATTGCTTAAACAACAAGACCAATAATCTGGTAAAGAAGATATGTGTGGAAAAAAAAAAAAAAGATGGATGTGAGTATGTGCGATTTAACAAACCCTTAGCTGGAGACTTGGTGCCTCTCTTTTCTTCCTCTTTCTGATTGTCTTTTGACTAAGCTCTTCCTAACTGCAATCAGAGAAGAACAGAAATAAAACCAGTCATTTTTTCCCCTTTAACTCAGTAAAGGTTTGGTGGGGGACTCATGGTTAGTTGATAGAGGATATTATAATTTTCTTGACAGTCTGGGCAATGAGTAGGTGTTCCTTAAACTTCTGAATTACCTGTGGGTGGGTATACCCTTCTGTGCTGTCCTATAGGTGACTGTAAGAGAGCCTCCCCCTTCCTGCCCATGGCCATCTAAGGCAGCCAGAGAACAATGACTCTGAAACTGTGGACACATCACTTTACCTCTTTGAGTTCCAGTTTTCTCATCTGTAAAATGGGGATGATAAAACCTATCTTGCAGAGCCATTCTGAGGTCTAAATAGGATAATGCGTGCAAAAGAACTTTGCAAGCTGCAAAGCTCTGAGTTGTGTGGACACATAAGCTAAAATTTTAAAAAATAAAGAGGTAATTTCAATTGAAACATACTATTATCAAAAATGTTGAAGAATGCCTATATATGAGTATTGTAAAAATTGTCGCTTTAGCAGAATAACCTTTACAACAAAGTGACAAAAATACTGTTACGTATACATCCATGTGTATGTGTAAGAAAAGGTTGCCAATGGGATACATATCAGACTCAACGGTGGTTTTCCCTGATGAGTGGTGTACTTTCATATTTTACTTTATATTCTCCTGTTTCTAAAAATTTTTTCAATGAGTATGTACTGTTTTTGCTACATTTGGCTTTTTAAATTTTAGTCTAAGAATCCTATCACGTGCCTGACCTCACACTATTAGAGTTCAGAATGAAAAGGAGGGGGTGTTTGTGTGGAGATAGTATGGATACATACGTATTCATTATTGGAAAAGATCCTATTGTTCAATGTTCTCATTCTCTTGAAAGAGACTGAGTTTGGAAAGAGGTAGAAGGCGAATATGTTTTGCTCAGAAGGAGCAACCTTTGTTTGAGCATCATCCCCTCAGAAGATCTATCATTCAGTTCTAGTTTCTGACCTTTGTATGCTTTCAGACAGCTACCTGGAAGACACCTACAGCCTAACCCCGTTTCTGATGATGGAATGTAGGTACAGCAGCTGTATTATGAGAATAAATACACTAGAAGAATGAAAGAAACTTGTGCACTTAACACTCGTTTTCAACCCAACCTCACCCTCTTGTGCACAGCTGCCAAGGTGTCAGCAAGGGGCGTGTGTAGATGGCTGTAGCTTTTAAATTAATATTTGTCTCACATTCTCACACAGATTCTGTCCTGAGGGGCTGGTTCTATTGA